TCACTGGAAGTATTTGTCTTTATTTAATATACAGAATAATGGAGAGTGAACATCTTAATGACTAGTATAGGGGTTGTGGAGATTATTAAGTTTTTGATTGAGATCATGAACCGATTGATGTTAGACCACCTTTGGAAACCTGGAAGCACTGGACGGCCGTTTCGTCCTATTGTGGGACTCCTCAGCAATGAATTGGCGCCAAACTAATAGACAAGAAGAAAACTATGATTTTACTCAGCATTCAAGCTGGAATAAAGTCTTGTTACGTCGACTGTACGTATATAGATCATTATCAGGCTACGTAGTCGTCAATTGATTACTTACGATAACTGTCATCATTTTACCTTATTTCTATCATGCTTAAAGTATGTCTCGTTCATTCTATTGATATACACAGGTAAATATACATATATACATACCTTAATAAAATCTTTATGATAAGATGAATATATTTGCTTTTATTTATCTAGTTGAATTTGGTAATAAAATAAGCATGGTTTATGATAGTGTTCAGTTTAAGTTTACTTTACTCTTTGTCTCTCACATTCTTTGTATATGTGAATTGATTTTTCAAGCTAAAGTGAATCTGTTTATTACAGATATCTACGTATCCACCTGGTTTTAAGTGACCAACGTCTTATCATTTTATTATTATTACCATTATTATTACTATTATTATTACTAACTTCATGTAACAACAAGACGACTGAAATCTGTTCTTGGACATTATCGTCATGGTATATATGATATACTACTAGGACTATCATAAACAGTTTAAATACTTAGTTATGTAAAAGATGTATATTGAAATATCACTATTTACTAGTTTAATAGAATTAGGTTAATGTATATAATAACATTTCGCAACTATCTAAAATATCAGAGTGAATACCATTTATGATAACTGATTATGATTAGTTCATGAATGAAGTATATAATCACCTAGATTTTATATATGAAGAGGATCGAGGTTTCTTACTAGTTGGTACATGTTTGCTTGATGTATCTCTTATCTCAAGTGAACTGATGCTTTTCACTTACCCTAGTGTTTATAATATCATAGTAATTGAAGCACTGATGTATGTAAATAGTAGTGCTCGGAAATGTTGAGCTTTCAAGTCTATTGTTTGTTAACTAGTACTTATCACGTTTATACCACTTAATGAAATTCCCTACCCAGTTTGGCTCGTAAGTTACTTTTAGGCTTCGAATGGATGTTTATTAGGCTGACACACACACACAACTGGTTTGCACTGATATTTTAAACAAAAAGAGCTGTTGAAAACAAAGATTTCTTCATAAAATTGTTTATATTCATTAACCATCTTGTTTTGTGGATAAATGAAAGATCTTTTTAAAGAAAAATACAGTTGAATCATGAATACAACAGTATGTTTACGTTGCACTGATAAACTTTAGTGACGCGAGGTGCGATCGTGGATGTGCACTGCTGATAAGTCCCACAATAGGACGAAACGGACATTCAGTGCATCCAGCTTTTCCATGGTGGTCTAGCTTCAATTGACTCATGAATTCAACTGTTAAAATAATTATGAGTTTATTAAGTTGGCTTGTGAAATTTTGTCTCATCAATAAAATAGTTCTTTATTAGATAAATTAAACATAACTGGAGGGGACTGGGAACTATGGGTAATATTTATATTTTAGATGCTTAGAGGTAGTCAACAGGAAACTCTAGATTTATGTTTCTTGCTAGTTAAAACCTGTCAGCAAAACGCAGATGTGATCTTGAGGATATTAATGTTTTTAGGGTGGCTCCAAGTGCGGCCATCCCACTGTATAGATTAAGACGTTACCATTAAGTTATTCCTGTCATAACTTACCTTCTGCAAGATTAACATTATTAAGATTTACATACTAATATCGTTCATTTTTTATTTGATGACATCAATTAAATGTGCAGTATAATCACTGGAATCTTCACATTATTTCATAATCGTTAACATTAGGGTGTACAAAACAAAAGCAGCAAATATTAACTTGACAAATTTGGTGTTATACAAGTTTCAAGTTGATTTATAATCTATTGACTATGATAGATGTTATTTAAATTAGTTCCACTTACCAAGGACAGTGTAAAGGTAAAATATTTGCATAAAGGGAAGTCTAATAATGACGCTTAGTAATCACAGTGATTAGACATTTTATTATCCTATAATTTAACTTGTAGGATGGATTATAGTCAAAGGTGTTAGTATATCTAATTCAGTATCCAAGCTAAAGTTCAAATTGATAATATGAATAAATGATAGTAGTATTTTGGTTATGTGAAGAGATTGCAGTAAATTATTCCATAGAAAATAATGTAACATACTAAAAGTTAGTCAGAACAAGTTCAAAAGATATGCATCTTTATTTCTACGAGGTTAGCATTTAGAGCTTTTATACACCATAGTTCCCTTTATCATTTTGAAAAGAGTAAAAACAAAGATTCTAGCAGAATAGCATGAATTCATTTTTATTTCGTAGATTCTCGTCAGCTGCTTACAACCTGTGATATTTAAGAATCATAATTACATAATGGGTTTAAATTACATACATGAAAGAGTTTGATTGAAAGTTGTATTAAAGACACATTAGTATAGTAGAGAAAGGGTGTAAATAGATTGAACAGACTGAATATTGTAAATAAATAAATAAATATATATATATATATATATATATATATATATATATATTATGCAAAAGAGCAAAGTCCTGTATCAAGGAAATGTTTGATGATTGTACTGTTTAGATTCTTTCTTTCCCTTGTTCTGAGACATTTTGGAACATATTAAGAAAAATCTAAGGTTTGCCCTCCTTTCTGTTCGGCCAGTATAGCTGCTTTGGCAGGTACACGTAAATTTATAAATACAGTTGACGGTAACATTGAAGGGGTGTCTGTTGACCTTTGATTGAGTTATTGAACACGTTGTTTTATAGAGAAGCAAGGGTTTGGCAGCCGGATAAGTTCTGGCTAGCTCATTATTCAGCCTCCTGTTGATTATGTATGTGACATCATTACCTTTTAAGTTAGAATTTATAGATATTGACTTTTTATTGACCGTAATTATTTCCGTCTTGTTTTCTTTAGGCTTCTTATATTTGTCAATAAACCTTTGTGGGTAAAAGTTGTCTCTTAGATATTTTTCCACGTTCATTAATTCTTCCAGTTTGTCGATGGTACATTTCCTTTCTACCCTGAGAAATAGTGTTTTAACCAATGCTTTCTTGTAACTGATTGGACAAAAACTATTGAAATTCAGGTAAAGCCCATTTCAAGTACTTTTTCAATGAACCAAACGTTGAACTGCTAGAACGTTGGAACGTTAGAACTTTGTTTAGAACCTGAGACAATTGAAGTATTCAATCCTACTATAAATTATAAAAAATATTTCTTTGATAAGTACAAGTATATTGATTATGTTAATATAGTCTCAAAAACTACCAAACTATATTTATGACAGTTCAACTAGGTGATACCAATGAAAAAGTGAAGTAAATACGTTTTGTATACAATTCACAGTTTCAAAATTTTAAAAGGGATTCACTAAGGTTTATTCCCTATTCATATTTCAAAAGTCAAATCATTCCGGTAGTGTTGGCTTCTAATTTTAGAATCTATGCAGAAAAGAATAGGTCTAAGGCCCAAGTTAGTAGTTTTTTATTTACCTATTATTAAGAAGCCTGTAAGACATTTACATTCTTTTTATCCTTCAGTTTTACGATATAACCAGAAAGAATAATCGATGTGCTATATTAGTCAAGTATAGATGTATTTAGTATGATTCACTACTATGTTAAAGTCACTAAGTGAACAGTGTTGAGATTTGACTCAAACCCTTTAATTACTTCAAGCAAATCAGTTGATGAAACTATAAACCTACAAAGATTGTGTTATTTATCAATCAGCTTGTAACGGATAAATAATCTAGGACACCGTAAAAATTAATGAAATAAATGAGTGTTTCATTTGAGAATATGTATACATCTTAGTATTAGTCACTTAACCGGTAAGTTACCGGTTAAGGACCAGCCAAACGAGGATAAAATAAAACAAATAGATTTAAATGCTTCTACTCTTCGTATTCATGTATTCTCCCCCTATCGACTCACATCTATCTTTCACCACATTTCCTTCAAACATATTGTGTAACAAAACTGGGAAGACACGAATTCATGCAAGTTTCTAATCGATGATTTTATTTATATATAGTAGGATTTTAAGACTTTGATGTTGGTTGGAACTTCAACTGTTTTTCTACCTAAACCCATATCGATATTTATATTAAGACAAACACGAATCATTTGAATGAATTCATATCTACTAAATTACAATGATCAACACTTTTCTGAGCGTGAAATGTTCTTATGACTGAAGACTGTTTATCAATATAAATTTGAATACAGTAATCAATTTATTTACATCCATTTCATAAATCTTGCATAACTTGTAATATATATCTTGGATTTCATAAATGTTCACTACTTCTACTTCTAATCCTGTCTTCTTCATTTCTTTATACTTTGAGTCTATCTATTATATTTTTGTAATTAATTTAGAGATTTTAATCCCAATCAGGGTTATACAAACGAACAAATACAATTCCAGCCTTTACCAGTGGAGTTCAACCAGGTCTGTTGTAAGATATCAGCTCACTGAAGAAAATGGTGTACGGTGGCGCAATTTTCTGGATTAGTTGAGGTTAGACGTTAACACTGTCAGATGCCGGACGGCTCAGTGGTCCAGTGGTTAAGCACTCGCGCGCGAGACTGATAGGTCCTGGGTTCGAATCGGGATCGTGGATGCACGCTGCTGAGGAGTCCCACACTAGGATGAAACGGTCATCCAGTGCTTCCACGTTATCCATGGTGGTCTAGCTTCAATTGACTCATGATTTCAACTATTGAAATTACTAAAATCTCCACAAAACCCTGTTTGATAATTCCAGCTATGTTAATTTACGTGAGAAATAATTATGTTTCTTGTTTTTTTTTAGGAATTAACATGTACAGCGAAATCCGGAGAACATGTAATCACACCAACTACTCGTCGCGAATGTCCATCGTGTAGATTAAAACAATGTTTTCGAGTTGGTATGAGACCAGACCTTATACAAGTTCGTAAAAGTAAGTAAAGTGAAACATTTAAAACTATTCAACTTTAAAAACTCTCCTTCAGTATATTTTTAAAGTGATGTACTTTTATTAACACGATTATTTTATTCACATCCAGTGAAACATTAAAATTTAAATAAATGGGCCACACTTGCAGACAACGGTCCATTTATTAGGGTTTAAATTTCTAAGTACAGTCACAGTTTATCTTTACATGATCTGTATGGTTCCTAACATTTCACTGATTTATATTTCTGAAGATTCAATGTTCATAGCCTTCTGCAATGCAAGATCATCATTAATTTACTAACAACTTACTTCAAAAGATAATTCAACAAGTTCTAGTATGTTTGAACTGGTGAAATTTAAACATTCGACGAGATAAGAATCACCAGTAGCGACAGAGGATAGTCGCTTAACATAGTGAATCGATTGCAGTTTCAAATGTAAATCATTTGATGTCAACTTAGTGATTTACATGTTAAGGTCTTCATCTGAGCTAAAGAGGTTGTAAATTCGAACTTAAGTGGAGTTTTGAATGAGGAACGTTATGGAATTCTATAATGAGACAGAAAAACTGTCCAGTTGTTCTTGATTTTCAATAGTACCTCAAATGAAATCGATTTATTAAGAATGCTATCTAAATCATGATAATGTGATTTATTAAGCTACCGTTTTTTGTGAAGTCCAATAGTTCTGACAGTGAACAAAGAAAACTAAATATTTGAGCAAAGAGATCATAGAAATTATGTAATAAATTAATGAAATGAAATTGTAGTAACGGTTAATAAGCACTTTACAAGTACAAAACTAGTAGCATAATTTTTAATGAAGTTTTGTTCTCTAAGCTGGATGGTTTGGTTGTGTGTTTTTTCTTTGTTCTCTGTGTCGTTTGCATGATATTTCGATGGCTGTTGTCAAGATTTTCAACTGTTCTGACGTGAGCGTCCTTTGTAGCTTCATTTTTTGGTCTTCTATGACGTGTTGGTATTTGCGGATCCTGTAATGTGCATCCGTTATCTTTAGCTGCACCATTTTTCTTCCACTTTGCCCAGCTATTCTCCATCCCAATGGGCAGTTGATTGGAGGTCTGTATCTTATGCTTGTTGGTAGAAAATGCTGACAAAGTCACCAGTGGAAAAAATACAGCTGTTCTCAAGTGGAAGCCTGCTTTTTGGAGAGATTCTCACATTTTGTCATCACGACCATACCATCCAGCTCAGAGAACAAAACTCCATCAAAAATAGTAGCGTAATTGCTTATTTATGTTCAACATTTAAACTATTAGACTTCATTACATTGTAAAGATCTGTTGCCTATTACCACTGAAATGTTACTTGAATATCTAAAAGGTCAATATATATTATGACAAAAGTTTAGTCTCTTTTACATAGTCACAAACTGAAAGTTAAGTGAACATCATAGTTTATCTGAAAATTAGAATGAAATTGTTCTTCTTTTTTTGTCAAAGGCTACAACTTCAAGATATGATCATACGAAGAAATTTCAATTTAGATCCACTGATGATACAGAAAATTGTTTAAATTCTTTATTCACAGCAGATAATTAATTCCTAATTCACTGACTAAATGTTTTGAAATATTTCGCATGATTTGTAGATCTTTACTTACTTACACCTGTTACCCATTATGGAAGAGCATAGGCTACCTACCAGCATTCTTCATTGAACTCTGTTTTGGTGTAGATCTTTGGTTTGATTATATTCGACAAGACTGTAATTTATGGACGAATCAATCAGATATAAAATGACAGATCTCAGATTTTGGTGCGAAATTCACTCATCTATTTGGACAAAGAGAGTTCTCATGAGTCAGTTGAAGCTAGACCACCATTGAAAACCTGGAAGCACTGGACGGCCGTTTCGTCCTAGTATGGAACTCCTCAGCAGTGCGCATCCACGAACCCGTCCCCTGCGGGATTCGAACCCAGAACCTACTGGCTTCGCGCGCTCATTGGTCTAATGGTTAAGTGCTCGCGCGCAAAGCCAGTAGGTCCTGGGTTCGAATCCCGCAGAGGGCGGGTTCGTGGATGCGCACTGCTGAGGAGTCCCATACTAGGACGAAACGGCCGTCCAGTGCTTCCAGGTTTTCAATGGTGGTCTAGCTTCAACTGACTCATGATTTCAATCTGTGAAATTTGCTAAAATCTCCACAAAACTCATTCTGAAAATAGAGTTCTGGCATTATAGCTGATGTCAGTTTATGATGAAAACCCTAAGTCGAATTCCTAACCTTAATCATCAACTGTAAATAATAATTCTCATTTTTCACACAGGTTTATAACCGTCATTTGACCGTAATTATTAGGTGGACACTCTCAAGGTCAGTTTAGCGTCACTGAAAGGTCGTCCATAAATTATAGTCTTACCAATTGTATTAATATTTTTATTATTTTTACTATTAGTATCCATGCCAAGGTTGGACTTGATAGTTTCAAATTAATTGAGCATTAACTAGAAAGTTGATAATGAATACATATTTTGGTTACATCTCAATGAGTAGAAAAATTGTATTTCTGAAGACGTTTCATAGCTTAATATGAACCACTTCTTCAGAGGAAATAAATAGTCGACACTAAATTAACCCAAGTTTAAATAGTACAAATGAAATAATGCGGAATATTTTTAGTACAATCAAAATCATAATAGGTCAGAATAATTATGATTTTGAATGCACCCAAAATATTCTGCATTGTTTCCTTTGTACTATTCCGTCACTTATTTACTCTGAAGAAGTGGTTTACATTAAATTACGAAACGTCTTCAGAAATACAATTTTTCTAATCATCGGAATATAAAAAAAGTACATTCTTTATTATTATTATTTTACTCACTAATTTTTCATTGGTTTAATTATGTTTATTTAGAAGATGGAAGTAAACCACGATGGTTGGATAAAGTTCCACGTGCAGCTATTGTTCATGAACAACATTTACAATCTTCTGAAGCATTACAATGGTCAACAAATATTAATAGTACTACGTTTCACAATAATAATCACAGTGATAATAATAATAGTAATAGTAATAATAATGGTAATAGTACAATTAATAATTCTAATCATCGCATAAAATACCGCTTAAATCCTGATAAATTTTCTAAAAATAAAACGAAAGAATTGAAGCCTCATCTAACTGAACATCAACCTATAGATATCAATAATAATAATAATAATAATAATAATAATAATAATAATAATAATAATAATAATAATAATAGTTATCGTAATAATAATAATAACAATAAAGAAAACAATATAAGCTGCATGGGAAAATCGATTAATTTGAAAAGATTCAACATTAACTCAAATGATTCGGTAGAAATCCTGTCAGATCCTTCATATCCTTCTATCCTTAATCCTCATCAGCAACATCATTATCATCATCATTCAACTTCTATTTCACCTCGTTCCCATCATCATCATCATCATCAACAGCGTCAACAATATGTAGAAGAAGAAGAAGTGACTAATGATGACCGAATAAATGATTATATTATGTGCGTAACATCAAGTCCATCATTGAATACATCAAATATTTTAAATAATGTTCATTATTCAATTACTTCGAATAATCTTGATAAAGACTTAATTATAAATTCAGTAACCACTGGAATAATTACTGATAACAATACTAATAGTAGTACAAGTGATAGGACAAGTCCTAGAATAACAACTACCATAGCAACTAATTATTTTCCAGCTGATACAGTTTTTCATTTCAATAGTTTAATCATTCCAAATTCATGTCAAAATAATAAATGCGGTGATATCAATTTAACTGATTGGAATACATCATCGGAAAATGGTGACAATAATGAAACTACTATAAATAATGTCAACTGTATTACGTCCTCACCATTATTATCATCATCGTCTCTTATCATACCATCTACAACGACGTTGACAGAAGCGACAATAGCGATGGTAAAAGTAACTTCTGGTAGTACTGTTACAAATACCAAGAAAACAACGATAGCAAATACAAGGATTAATAATAATGATAATGATAAGCAACCTTCATCGAATTTACTTTACACAGAACATCATCATCATCATCATCACCAAAATGTGGACTTCAGCACTTTGAATGATATCAATCACTTAGGTTAGTAGATTTTTAAAAAAACGGATAATAAATTTGTTTATAAATAATAGAATATAAGATTAGTATGATTGTTTTCAGTGGTTTTTATTATTCTGATATTCCTTGATAACACCTTGGAAAATTCATCGAGAATCAAGTGAAAACTATGAACTAATTAGTGTTCAATTAGATCCTCATCAAGCTTTGCTCTAATACAAAGTAATAGGCATGTCTATGTATGAAATACACTATTCTAACTAAGGCATTTAAGACTTAGTGTTTATAGGGAAACAGATTACATAAACGTTACACAATCAATGTTTCGTAATAGGAAATTGATGAGTGATCCAGAAAAATTGACACTGAATTAACATTCATTGAAAAAAACCAATAAAATTAAGTAATAAGAAGTGTTCTGATAATTAGACAATGAAGAATGGATTTGACAAAGAGGGGAATAAAAATAAACGAACAAAATGTATGAAGACTAATAAGTAATTAAAACCATTCACCAAGCCTAATTCAGTCAAGGAAGTGACAAGCATTGTAAATATAGTACGAATTCAAATACTTAGGTCGTTACCTTGAACCCTTATAGTTTTTTCTATATGTAAAGAGACGAAATTGAGCCTCATGATGAAAAGTATTAGATATACAACAAATTACTTACTTACTCCTGTTACTCCCAATGGAGCATAGGCCGCCGACCAGCTTTCTCCAACTCACTCTGTCATGGGCCTTCTTTTCTAGTTCCATCCAATTCTTGTTCATTTTTCTCATGTCTGTCTTCATTTCTCGACGAAATGTGTTCATTGGTCTTCCTCTTCTCCTCCTTTGACCTTGAGGATTCCATGTGAGGGCTTGCGTTGTGAAGTACTTCGGTGCTTTGCTCAATGTGTGTCCTATACACTTCCAGCAAGTCTCCCTGATTTCTTCCTCCACTGAGATCTGGTTCGTTCTCTCCCACAATAGGTTGTTGTTGATTGTGTCTGACCAACGGATCCGAAGTATTTTGCGTAGACAACTGTTAATAAACACCTGTATCTTCTGGATGACGGCTTTCGTTGTTCTTCAGGTTTCTGCCCCATACAGTAGAACTGTCTTGACATTTGTATTGAAAATCCTGACCTTGGTGTTGGTTGACAGTTGCTTTGAGTTCCGGATGTTCTTCAGTTGTAAATATGCTGCTCTCGCTTTGCCGATCCGCGCCTTCACATCTGCATCAGATCCACCGTGTTCATCAATGATGCTGCCCAAATACGTAAAGGTTTTTACATCTTCCAAATCTTCTCCGTCAATTGTGATTGAATTGGTGCATGTTGTGTTGTATAGGAGAATCCTGCTTTTCCCTTTGTGTATATTGAGACCTATTGCTGCTGAGGCTGCTGCTACACTGTTCGTCTTCTCCTGCATTTGTTGTTGCGTTTGCGATAGGAGGTTCAGGATACAGCAAATTACTTTAAGCGATTTGTTCCTATGACAGCTATAGAAAATCTTAGTGTAATCATCAGTGTTCTTTGCAAATGTCCAGTAAAAATCTAAACAAAGGTTGCTTATTCCTTGTCTATTCTCACTCAACAATCGCTCAATGCAGCCTCTTTTCATAACTCTTTATGAATTACAATGTTGTTTATTATTGTACAAATACAGATATTTTCAGTACACCCAAACATAAGTTCTTCAGTTTATTTCTAGCCATCTTTACGTTTAGAGTTCCAGAATAGACATATATCTAAGACTAGAATACACTCAAGATGTTGGTGTTTAAAGTGTACATAGTACTCGTCAACTCATCGAAATACTACCGTAGACAGATGGATTTATTCCAAGAGTGATTCATATAAAAGCTTAATTTTTAATACAGTGATGTCAGCTAGAAAGCTGACCATGAGAATTAGACACAAACATTCGGGTTTCAATGTTCAATATCGGAACAGTTATTATATTTGACAAGGGATAAATCTTGGCTAGTGATTTTCGAATCTTATTTTCCTTTATATTAAGACATAGGAGTGACCTTAAGTTAAACGCAAGGACTTGTGTTTTTCTTAATCTTCTGAACGTGACTCTTTGATATCTGGTAGATAAATATCTGAATAAAATCTTTAATTAAAGCTGACCAATATTATCTAATGTTTTTGATGGAGTTTTGTTCTCTGAGGTGGTTGGTTTGGTCTTACTATTCTCCATCCCAATGGGAAGTTGATTTGGGATCGTATCTTCCGCTTGTTGGGTGAACATGCTAACGAAGTCACTTATAGAGAAAATATAGTTGTTCTCGAGTGAAAGCTTGTCTTTTGGTGCAATTCTCCCATTTTCGAACAACGAAAAGCGTACTACGCTCATATGATTTTTAGATAGTGGAGAAGGTTTGTAGCTTAGGTGGATGATTTTGATGGAGTTTTGTTCTCTGAGCTCGATGGTTTGCTCAGAAAACAAAACTCCATCAAAACCATCCACTTAAGCTACAAATCTTCCCCACCACCTCATTATGTAATGCTTTTTGGTTAATCAATAATTTCTTATTTGATACAATGTCTTAATTATATGTGTAGAGAAAAGAAATAAATTCCCAGAAACCAGCATTTATGGCTGGGTTGATAAAATCTCGACCACCATGAATAATCTGGAAGCACTAGACGGCCGTTTCATCCTAATATATAACTCCTCAATAGTGCGCATCCACGATCCTGCCCACGGGATTCAAACCTAGAACCATCAGTCTTTCATGCGAATGCTTAACCCTTAATAATTATTTCATTCAAAATCAATTTGTGATATAAACTATCATCATCTTTTTGAAAACAGAATAGTGGTACAATTTTTTATATTGTATGCGTAAAAATTGTTTAACTAGATGATCTATGTTTTCTCAGCCAGAAAAAGGCTGAAAGAAGAATGCGTTTATCAGATTAGTGTCTATGACTATCACGACGAATTATTGTACATCTTGAATGAAATTAATTTTTATTATTTCATATTTTATTATATACATTAATAAAGAAAATTTCATTGAATAATTGTTTTACTCTCATTAAAAAAAACCTAGATGACCTCATTCTATTAAGTGATTCTACTGAATTGATTGAACAACAAGAAAGTACAAATCAATTAAAACCACCTTCGAAAATTCTATCACCATCAGCTTTTACACAACCACCACCACCACCAACAACAACAACACCACCACCACCACCAATGACAACAACAACATCTTTAACCTCGGCAATAATATTACATAATAATTTATCTAAAAATAATTTAATGTGCAATTTTATGAATGATCATTCAATTGTTTCACCCTGTATAACATCTAGCTTAATGTATTCAACTGATACATTAATTATACCTAATATACCGAATATACCAAATAGTTTAACAGAAATGTGTAAACATTCAAATGTTACACCATTATGGAGTACTTCATCAATAGATGAACAATTCACAATACCGATAATCACTACACAACAAAATGAATCTTTGTTATCAACTTATTCAACAAATAGTAATCATAATAATAATTCAATCAATCAATCATTAGAATGTATTTCAATGAATAGTCATGATAAATTATCATTTGATTTATCATTAAAAACTACAATGAATTCATTGTCAAGTGAACTGTCTCCATTATTACCAACTTCTTCTGTTTCCTTGTTCTCTTCTTCGTCTTCTTCTTCTTTGTCGTCATCATCATCATCATCATCATCATCGTCATCATCATCGTCGTCGTCTATTTCAATTAGATGCAATGAACTACAATTAGATGTGAATTCTATTAAATCTTTACAATTTGAACAAAACAATAATAATAGTAATAATAATAATAACACGAATACTAATTACATCTTACCGGTTGATTTAAATAATATACTATTCTTGAATGAAAGTAAATTATCAGATGATTATCCAATAATAAGTATTCCAGATAGTAACAATAATAATAATAATTCTTGGTCAAATCTGAATCATCATCAATTGGATTCAACTAAACCAGAATTACAAACAAAATGTGAACAAGTAAGTTATTCAAAAAAAAAGAATGCAATTAAAAAGTTATATAAAGTACTTTTTATAGAATAGATGGATCTGTGGTGGAGAAGATTTGTAGATCAGGTAGATGATTTTGATGGAGTTTTGTTCTCTGAGCTGGATAGTTTGGTTGTGGAGCTTTCATCGTTCTTCTGAACGACATCATCAGCACAAAATTCCAGATAGAAGTGAAGTGTTTAAATTTCTCCATATGCGTTTTACAGCTTGTGCTGTACACCTCGACGTTAAGTTGATTCTTATTGACCTTACATTTGTCATTGTTTACTCCTTTGTTTTGGTTCTGTCTCCCATTGGTTTGATTTTTGTTCCTATATTTATGCATAATTTTCCTGATTGATTGATAAATTGGATCTAATTCAATGTGCTTGTTGATTGCTGATTGACCTGGAACTCATCCTATTTATGACTTATGTCGTGTAGAGGAATGTGAATACCAGTGTTAATGTTCACAATGAGACTTAAATGTGGTACCTTTTAGTTTTAATGGCAAAACATACACTGAACTACTTAGTTCAGATAACTACTAAGTTCTTCATTGGATATGATGTTTAGATTATTGTTAGTAAGCGATTGAATCATTGCATTGTTAACATTCAGCACAGAAGTTTAATCATATTTTACTGGCAGAAGTGTATCCTGTGTAGATTGCTTCGATATAATTATTTTGTTACACGTTTTATGAAATATATAGATTGTAGTTAGTAGTGAAATAGTGAGATTGAGGACAACAACTTCATTCGGTGTTGAATTTTTCAGCTCGCTGTAATTGCATTGCAGTCTTAGTGTTCACACTTAGTAATCAAGTAGAAAACACTATTTTTCGCCATAACAACTATGATAATTTTGTAATTCAATAGATCGTTATTACTAAGCGTGACGACGGACCACGGGTAAACTCGAGGAAGCTGTAGGAGGCTCAGAAGGAGCCAAAGATATTTCATCCAATCACCTTTGGGAAGAATATTCTAGAATTCTTGCACGTAGCTTCCTGATTGGACGATGCCAATAACCCCCTGTATGAGGACTGAAGGACTGTAATGATGATTTTTTTCTTACTAAAAACTATAAATACCGAACAATTTTGTACTATAATTGACACTGCCTGTGAATAACATTGCTTTCATTAGTCTTCTGTCTTCTCATTGCGACTTGGAAGGGTTCTGGCGTTCTAGTGCTCACGTTATACGTGGTATATCAAGTACAACCTTCAAGATATAACACTAAGAATACATCTCAATATATTCATTTGTTTTAAGAAAAATACATACTCCTGGAATCCTAATCAGAAACTATGAGTAGTGGGGTTAAAACTTGTCAGGTATGGGTAGTTAGCCACATAAAACAATTGCAGGTGGTCTGAAAGTATTGTAAACTCGTTAAAGCTCGGCATGTACACTATTGTAGAGGTCTGAAGATTGAATCTTGTCGCTAAACCGAAAGCCCTGAGTTTTGTCCTTTTTGATGAGGTTATGGATTCACTTTTTTAAGGAGTCCCACAATATAACAAGACAGCTGTACTGTACCGCCTTGTTTTCAGTTGATGCTGAACTTATATCGGTTCATGATATCAACAATATTCAACAATTTGATTTACAGTCTAACCATAGTTCATTATTAACAACGATATTTTTCTTACTACCAACATGGTTGAACTTCAATAATCATAAATCGTGACGAGAAATTTAAGAACAGACTTTATATTCAGCTATTAAGTTGTATGCGGTTTATGATTTCCCTTTTATTCGTTTGAGTATATCAATATTTTTCATTCACAACTGAATGACTTTCACCTTAGCGATTAATGTTCAACCATAAAATGTTGTTCTGTTTGGGGTTTTCAACTATTGAATAGAATATGTTCTAGTCAGCATAGTCAGGTATTTTATCCATAATACCAAAATCATTTTACTATTAGCAAACTACATTCCGCAGGAAATTGTCACATATTTTTCATATGAAATAATGCGGCCAATAGACACTAAATAATTTTAACGATAAACCATCACTATTATACTGTATTTTTCTATCTTTTCATTACTATAATGCAATGCGTTATGTTTCGTTTGTTAAACTTTCTAACATTCCCAAAACTTAGAATGGTGATTGGAGGTAGTCAACAGGAAACCCTGGACCTAGTTTTTGTGCTACTTGGCACTCCTCAGCAAGGTGTTCGTGTAATCTTGAGAGAACTGATGCTCCCTGATGGATTCGATCCTGTGACATTCAGCTTTACAGTCAGGGACGTTAACACTGGGCTGTCCGGGCAGTGACTGACCTCCTGTAGGACTGAGAATTCGATCTGCATTAAAATGGACCTGACATACACGACATTGATCACCACCCAGCGATCAATCAATTGTAAATCCCTAAAACTTATCTATATTAGTGATTAATGAAATTCTATTACTTATATATTTAATAGTTTTGTATACTACTGGTAGTATCAGTCCCCTTAAGATTGCTGGTACTCCTTAGTGACGAGTGGCAATTAAGATATAACCTAGGTCAGGCAGGGTTTTCTACCAAACACCCACAACCACCTATCATAAAAACTGTAGCAACAAAATATGAATTAGCAAAGTAAATGAATTTAATCATTAATAAATTTAGGATAGACGTTTCATAGTGAATTTTCAATCTGAAGATTGTTTGCAGCATGAAATGATGAATCAACAGACTAGACGTAATTCTCTAACCCAAACATCTGAATATCTTGAATACGAACAATCTTGATGGTTGTTAGTATCCATTGCTAACGAGTCCTAAACTAGAATGAAAAAGCTATTAATGGTTCCCTGGTCGTCAATTGGTGTATAGTTCAAGTCAATCCAGATTATTTTGTAGAATTGTAGTAAGCAAAAACCCAAGTAGGGTAAATCGAATGTGTTTGAATACAAAATTACAGAGCATCTTAATAAAATCTGTGAACCATACATTAAATACTCCATTTGCAAAAGTATCAATCAATCAACTTAGATTTCACATTTATTTCATTTCCACAGCAATCATTCACTGTTCTTGTTCTCTATTCTTCAATCAACCTAACCTTCTGTCAGGTATTTCATATTCGATTGATGATACACATTACTTATATCTGTTGATATCAGTAGTATACACCGTAGAATGAACTAATCAAACTAACTAATTATTTGACTCCTCAGTAGTGTACATCCATGATCCCGTACCCCGCGAGATTTGAACCCAGGACCTATCAGTCTACGGTATACGGTGGTGCAACATTGTAGATTGGTTGAAGTTAGACATAAACACCATTGGATGTCAGCTAATTATTTATCATTCCACATCTGTATTATTAGAATAAGTTGCTTATTCTAAGGTGACAATTATGACAGTTCAAAATCATTTACCATTTGAAATGAAATCATCTCAAGTTGATTTTATCATTACTTTCTTTGTTTTCATTTTCTATTACAATATAACTAACTGATTTCCTACTGAGTTAACATAGAATCATGTTACATAATACTGTTGCATTTCTTGACAGACAATCCATATATATGATCGAAATAAATTGAGATCTGATCTTGTTAAGTGAATAGAAGTTTTTTCATTTCAAAATGTAGACCCTAGAATTTTTTGTTCACTAGAATTATAAAACAATGGGATGTGATAGAGTTGAATGGTAAGTATTGTATATTGTGTTAGATATAATGAATCTATCGAAATCTTAGATTGTTATGATTTAGAAAAGTCATTAATGATTAAATCTGAATAGAGCTTTAATGAATTAATGTCCTTAATAATTGATGATAATTTTATAATAATCATTGGTTGAACGAAGTATTCTGTTTTCAGTGAATTCATTATTAAAGCTGTACAATCACAATGACTATCAGGATTCAGTACCTAGGTGGATAACGGCGATGATGTTTGAAGTGAACGGTAGTGGGTTTGAGTCCTTGGGGTGAACATCAACTATGGGATGCGGGTACATCCAGTTAAACAAGTCCTAAATAGGACGAAACACGTGTCAAACTGCATTCCACTGCTAGCCACTATTATCCTTTGCTTATCAAGCTTGCGACTTAAGGCTATATGGAGACAGTACGCACAGTAGGCATATATATGATCAAGTGCACTCCTAAATAACAATGGGAAGATACAAGTAAAACAATACCGAGTGAATTTATGATTATTGTTATCGTAATTATTATCATCCTGAAATATATATATATATTTGTGATTTTACAGCTTTGAAAAAGAATCCGCCGACAAGAGAACTCTTCATTGAACTAATCTTTCTTATTTAATATCTTAGTGGGTGTACTCCATTTACTAGATAATGTTATAAACTGAATAGTTTAGAAGTTGATTTCAGCGTGGTTTTTGATAAATATGAATCACAGGTGATACTTAAAATAACTGCCAACTGTTGCCTAATACTCTATTTTAATCAGTTAACAATAACACTATGATCAACTTATAAGTTTTTGTTACAATCGATATGATGAAACGATACTGCTACGTTCAGCTTACGGTAAATTCGTTTAATACATGTGTGATCTAATGAGAACTCAATGAAACGACGAGCGATACAAGGCATTTACTCAGTAATCCTCAAAACAGTGTGAGATATGTGATCAGGAAGACGTTGTTTTCAAGAAGACACATTCGAAATGGAACAACTCTGTATATACACGACCTTGGGACAAATGGTAAAACTCGTAAAATAAGATAATGGCAAAGATCGGCATAGAAATATGAACTAGAACCAAGTCATCCTTGTTACTCCTAAAAAACAAAAAAAAATTCAACTACAAGAAAACTAAATAATCTTATGTCTCTTAAGTAGATATCAATTGGATTAACATTAAAAATTACAGAGAGAACTATACAAGTGTTTCGACTTTGTAGTTCTTCGAAGATGTACGTGTATAACTTGGAGTGGGATACAACCTCTATAATCAAATGTGACACATTTCAATGACTGTTTCATCCTATTTCACAATAAGTGATATTTCAAATTGGCGTTAGAGATGTTTATCATAACTATCATACAATTATATAATTTTATAGACCTATAATAGTGCAGTCGAGTAAAAATTTCTTACAAAACTCGACATCTTGGTATGATATCTCGTTGAAGAACTTCAATCGATAATATAAAAGTGATACCTTTACAAACAATTGATTATCAACCATGAATTGTATAGATCATTCATGAACTTATAAAAGTAAACTTTGATTATTAAGAGTATTTATTACCTTACTTACTTACGTGTGTTACTCCCAATGGAGCATAGGCCGCTGACCAGCGTTCTCCAACTTACTCTGTCTTGAGCCTTCCTTTACAGTTCTATCCAATTCTTGTTCAGCCTTCTCATATTTGTCTACATTTCTCGGCGTAATGTGTTCTTTGGTCTTCCTCTTCTCCTCCTCCTTTGGCCTTGGGGATTCCATGTGAGGGCTTGCCCCGTGAAGCAGTTCAGTGCTTTCCTCAATATGTGTTCTATCCACTTCCAGCGGTTGTTCCTGATTTCTTCCTCCACTGGAATCTAGTTTCTTCTCTCCCATAGTAGGTTGTTGCTGATTGTGTCTGACCAACGGATCTGAAGTATTCTGCTTAGACAGCTGTTAATAATCATTTGTATCTTCTGTATGATGGCTTTCGTAGTTCTCCAAGATTCCGCCTCATGCGGTAGAACTGTTTTGATATTTGTATTGAAAATTCTGACCTTGATGTTTGTTGACAGTTGTTTTGAGTTTCAGATATTCTTCATAGCGGTCTTTATTTCATCGAAATTTGTAAAAAGAAATTACAAACATGAATAATGAATAATAGGGGTGTATGTTTGTATAAACGTCTAAATAATGAGTGATAAACAATAACGATACCGATAGGAATGATGTCTATCAATCAGTAATAATATTCATTTCATTGTAAAATAAACTTTCAAATCATCAAATAGAACTGTATGAATGAATAAATTGAATGGAAACTGCCTATTAACTTAGTATGATAATCTTTGATGACTAAAGTGCTTTATGTTTATTTCAAGAATCAGTTGGTTTATATATAAATATTCTTGCAGATAAAGAGGAAATTCATTCTTTTTGTGACTTTTCATTCTTTTTATTTCATTCAGCTTGAAAAGATGCTTGTATTAATAGAAAATACTAACTGTCTATCTATCTATCTATCTATCTATCTATCTATCTATCTATCTATCTATCTATCTATCTACCTATCTATCTATCTATCTATCTATCTATCTATCCAATCTATCTATCTATCTATCTATCTATCTTTCTATCTATCTATCTATCTATCTATCTATCTATCTACCTATCTATCTATCTATCTATCTATCTATCTATCTATCTATCTATCTATCTATCTATCTATCTATCTATTTATCTATCTATCTATCTATCTATCTATCTATCTATCTATCTATCTATCTATCTATCTATCTATCTATCTATCTATCTATCTATCTATCTATCTATCTATCTATCTATCTATCTATCTATCTATCTATCTATCTATCTATCTATCTATCTATCTATCTATCTATCTATCTATCTATCTATCTATCTATCTATCTATCTATCTATCTATCTATCTATCTATCTATCTATCTATCTATCTATCTATCTATCTATCTATCTATCTATCTATCTATCTATCTATCTATCTATCTATCTATCTATCTATCTATCTATCTATCTATCTATCTATCTATCTATCTATCTATCTATCTATCTATCTATCTATCGTAAAGCTGAATTCTTTAATCCATTTGAATCTATTGAAATCAACTTCATGAACTTTTTGTTTAGATGAGAATTCGATTTTCATTCATTTTTTTTTAGATAGGAAACTATCGTTGTGTAATGTTACAATTACTGGCAGTATACTATGATTTATTATGCGAATTAATGAAATCAATAGGAAAACCTTCTTCACCTAGGTTTTATATTACATATGGATTGTTAACAAAAGACATCTATAATCCTGAGGTAGCTATTGATTCACTTGAGATTGGAATCTTTGTTCAAGACTATTACATAAATGTTACCAGTATACGTTAGGTAATTTAATGAGTTGATCACAACACATTTCAAGGTTGTCTCATTACGCACTAATGGCTACTTGATCCTTCCTTTTGTAAAGAAACTATTCTTTACGCATATTCAACTGTATCCTACTCTAGCCTGCTACACTCGCTGGTATCTGGGTCGGTTGAAAAAGCTTAGACCAAACATAGATAAGTTATTAGTCCTTTAAAATCACTGAATCTTTATATGAATATTGTCGAAATAATATCCGTTCATTCTTTAGAAGTATGTTCCAAATGTGTTTATTATAAAGTACAACTGTAACTATTATTATTATTTTCACTGTCTCGTTTTTAGCTTCAATTATCATGACCTCTCTTTTTAGTTACTTCGAATTGATGAAAAGTTTGGAAAGTTTATTCGCGATACTTGTACCGGATCCTACAACATATATGTTAATCTGTTTCAGTCAGTTAGTCAGTCAGCTATAACGTAGGACCAGTCACATATATGCATCAATCCAAGTTCCAATACCTCCTTTGCACAACAAGATGAACACCGAATTCATACAAGTAGTTAATTCAATGATGGCAATATATAAATGAAAGATTGCATACAAGGGCAAAGTACAGGAAGAAAAACTTAGTTCGTAGAAAGAAAGACACAAAGCGATTTTAATTTCACGGTTTAAGAGAAGACTTCTAACTGCACTTAGGTCCACTGTATTCATAATCAACCTCTGTTAATCTCTTTAGTTAATTTAATGTTATCACTCTTTAACAGTGTTGATCAGTATCAAACTAAAGGGTTACTAATGCATTAAAAGCTTATCATTGAAATCAGTGTTAAAAAAGTATTTTTATATTTTGTCATTCTTTTTTTTTTTCAGATTTTCACTGTTCTAAACAAAAATGATAATGAAATTGATGGAATGTCTGGTGTTTTCCAAAATAAAAGTAAGTTATCCTAATGTGATTTGTACTGATCCGAATTGATCTCAGATTAGATTGTTAAGTGAAATTAAGATTATGTATAATCGCTGAAAAAATTCCCATTATATTAAAAACACAATTTATATGAACGAAGAATACTCTTTTCAATGAATTTCTCATCAGGTTCTACAATTCTCTCATATCCGAATGAATAATCCATAAAATTGGCCAAATTTAAGGGCAAAGAGTACATCATCATTTGGAAATTGTAATATGTGAATTGAGAATTGTTGTTTGTCATATATAAAATCAATTCAGATCGTTAATGTTGGGGCTGTTTAATATAAAGTGTTCACTTGAATCCGTTTTATAAGTGAAATGAAATTGTGCGATAAATCATGATCAGAATCAATATGGTCAACATGGGGTAAGAAAGACAGAGAGAGAATATTGTGATTACAAATCGGAAATTGCGTAATATGTAGAATAATTAGGTCAAATATAGTGTAGATTCAGGGATGGATATTGAATAAATTCCTCAAAAAGGGGTTATCAAGTGTAAAGACAATAATAATAATACTAATAATAATAATAATAATAGCAGTAATAATGATAATAAGTTTGGGACATAAAATGAACATTAATCAGATTACGTCACCACATTATAAGATTGATTATTAGCTAGTTGGCCAGGGTAAAAGGAGTGGCTGAACATACTTCTTTTGGATACAAAGCTCTGGTTTTTTGATCCGAATAGCAATTGCTTCAGCCGTCTGTAGGATTCGCAGTCTAATGGAATTACGTAGACTTCTGTTGACACGATAGATTATTGTAAAAGATTGCTCCATGTTTGCTGTATGTCCTGTTTGGAATAAATGGTCTAAGATGGAGCTGTTAACAGTTTTGACAACACCTTTGATTAACCACACAGGTAGGTGCTCATGAGCCCGAATGTACAAATTCCTAGAACATCTGTTAATATAACTTGCTCCACAGGAGCAGTTGAATTGATAGGTACAGGAGGAGGTGGCTAGTCTAGGTAATTTATCTTTCAACTTCGGAGTGATTTTTGGTCGTGTGGAGAACATTAATTGTAGTTTAGCTGCGTTAAAAGTCCTTTGAATTGATCTACTTAACTTAAGTCTTAACATTTCACTTGGCGCGTCGCCTCTGAATTGTAAGCGTGTATATAGAGGCTTTTTTATTCACCGTTGGGCATTCTCTACGCTGTCTTTTATTGGCTAAGTTTTTATTTATAAATTTCTCTGGATATTCATTTTCCTTCAGGGTTGTAAACAATGTCTTTGTTTCATCTTCAATCGTATCCATAGTGCATATAGTCTTGATTCTATGATGTAGTGTCTTGATAAGGTTCCTTTTTTGTTGTAAAGGAACGAAACTGAGAAAGTTAGTATAGATTAATACTATTCAAATCAGGTTCTCATTTCTATCACATATACATATGATCAACATTAAGAGAATAAATGACATGTTGCTTGGTAATATTACTCAGTGAATAATAACTATGGGACTACAAGTGATTATGAATGATATATCAAGCAAAAATTAGATATTTAGCCGGGAAATTAAATGTTCTTGGTAGTTCATACTCATAACTGCAGATGTAATCGAATTCTAGGTCTTTTAGTCTAGTAATGTCTTATACTGTTCTTATCTCCCACTTCTGAATAACGTAAATTCTCGATGTAAAGAATCATCAGTTTTAATTAATATCTAACAGCTAACTGATCAGATAATGAACAGAGTTATTATAATTATAGATTCAAAAATAATAATACTTGTCTAAAAACCAGGTTTCTAATGCAGATATTAACGGCTTAGTATATATGGCTAATGTTACGCGGAACATTTCCAGTATGCACTTATTGCATCGTACCATTCACTTTCAGTATCGTTTCAGTTTAATTAGTTGCTAAGTGATGAATATTGCAGTGTAAATGTTATCAAATACAAGCGACTAACGTTATACATAGCAATCTACGGCAAATATATTCAGTGAACTATATCGAGATATGTTCAATGAAAAAAATACTAGTACTGTTAATGTTAAAGCTGGAAATGGAATATTTAACGGTATCTGTACTCAAATATACAGAGCACAAATTTAAATTAAACAAAATATGATAAATTTCGTAGACGTTTAAATTTTAACGGATGGCCACAACCTATGACATCATTTCGGCATGAATATTGAAATGCCACAATATTTTGTTTATCCCTTTTTACTACTTATTAGTAGGCAAACATTTTATTTAAAACAATTAGTCCCTTTGATAAATTTCGATAGTGTAATAAGAAGACGAAGATTATCGGAACTATGTGATGATATATTAGCGCAATACATTTCGAACAATCATATTACACATAACATACTTGTTAAGAACATTTATATATAAAAAAATAAAAGGTCAGCTGGACTGCGAAATGGGGTAAGAGGAGACAATAATAATAATAAGTGTGATAATAATAATAAAGTGAACATAATTTGAAACCTAATCACTCTGGATAATAAGCCAATATTACCAGGGTAGATTTAAGGCGAGAACAAACTGTTTTTGAATACTTAAAGGGGGTTTGAATAAGAAATGATAATGATACTACTCTGTTAAAGAATTTCACTTTATACAGTTCACTTTCAAATCGAATCTCGGCAAGACTATAATTTATCGACGATTCAATCAGGTAAAAGATAACAAGTCTTAAATTTTGGCGCGAAATTCACTCATCCATTTGGCACAATACCGTTTTGGGATTATAGCTCATGTCATTTCGTGATGCAAATGTAATTCCTTACGTTGACAATCAACTTTAAATCATAATTCTAATTGCTCACACTGGTTTATAACCCTCATTTGGTCCTGGTTACTAGGTGGACACGGTCAATCTAGCATCACTGAAAAGTCGTCTATAAATAATAGTCTCACCTTAATCTCTAATAATAAATTGATGTTAATTATAAAAATTTCTTATCTATTCATTCATATTTAGATCAATTATATAATGAAAATACCATAACTATTCCAATAAATTTAACTAAAGTAAAGAAATCATGGTCAAATATATGGCAAAATGGATTCATTCCAAATCCTGAAAAAATTGATTTAAATTTAGATTACACTGAATATCCTACATTGAAATGGTGTCTTACAATAGCTAATATATGGAGTGATTTATTTCTACGTCGTATTTCAGTATTTGCAATGTCATTATTAGGTGATCTTATACAAGATAATAATAATAATAATAATAATGATAAAATGGGATCTTTGTCAAGTTGTCATAACAACAATAATCATGAACATGAGGATAATAATCAAAGCATTATTGAATCTAATATATACATTTCAACAAATGAATATTTTAATAATTGTAATCAAATTCATGGATTATTTCAAAATGAAAGAGAAAATAATATAAATCATGTATTGAATGATATGAATGATCCATATTTAACATGGGATGATATGTTATGGATAGCAAAAGTAAGTGATTTATTGAAATTTAATATATATTTATCAATGATGTTTTGTATCATCAATGTGGGAAATGGACAATTATACGATTCTGGATCAGTGATCTAATAGTTAAGCACTCGAGCGCAAGACTGATAGGTCCAGGGTTCGAGCCCCGAGAGGAGGGATAGTAGATGCATAACGCTGAAGAGTCTCATAATAGGACGAAACAGTCGTCCTATGCTTCCAGGTTTTTTGTGGTGGTCTAGATTCAATCACTCATCATCTCGCCTATGAAAAATTACTATAATATCTATAAAACTCCTTCTGATATTAATTAACATATGCTCACTAGGACGGTCTTTAATAGGTATTTCCTGGAGTTCTAGTGAGAAGTAGTGACCAGTAGAGTTCAACCGGGTCTGTTGTGAGATAATAATCCACCGATGACAATGATGTATGTATCTCTCAATTTCGTGGATCAGTTGAAGTTGGACATTAACGCCGTTGAATATCGGCTGGCTCAGTGGTCTAGATGTTAAGAGCTCGTGTGTGTGACTGACAGGTCTTAGATTCTAATCTTGAATTCCAAAACCCGTTCTAATATTAATTATATGATTATTTTTTAAATGTGTTGACCAATAAAATGGGGAATGAATTCCTGGTAAAGATTATTGATAAGCTTGACTTTTTTTGTTGCCTTTACATTTATGATTAGTTCATCATCGTTGATTAGAACCTCTGGGCCAATTTTAATGGTATACATTCAGCTATCTAGTGATGTGGAATTTTTATAATAAATTACATTTTCTTGACGTTTTATTACACTGAAAAGAAGTTGTGTACTAGTGAACAATATGTTAGTTTTGTACACATTCGTTGCAAACGAAAGCTGTCAAGATGTCTTGCAAATAGAGTTAGAAAGAGATGCACAGTTGACATCTGGAGTTTATTCATAATATGATGATTATAATGGGAGGCAAATGTTTGGTGATCCCTGTCTTTCAATGATATTTCTAGTTGGATCAATGTGACGAAAGCAGCTGACGAATTATAATCAATCTCCATATACAAATGTACAGATACCTACAAAGAGTTGTTTACGCAAGGTACTCCATATCCATTGTCAAGAAACTATCAGAAACAACGTTATGTGTAAAAGAACAAACCAAATTTTAGCTGAAACTTTACACAGGACATACATTACGGGTACTACCAAATTACATCATGCGGTAAGCCTTAACCTGTAATTCTTGAGGGAATAGGAGAAGAAGCAGGTCAAATAATACTTTGCGTTGGATATTGGAATCGGAAGCAAAAATAGTGGATAGTAATTAGGAATAACTACAAATGTTAGTGGGCGATATAGAATAGGTTGGATAAACCTGATCTGTGGCGTATGACACAATGAGTAATAACCCTAAGTAAGTAGGTAAAGTGAAATAGGTTTCAAAGATAGAGTACATGACAATGCTAACTTCAAAATATCTGAATAAATGTTCAGTATTTTAAATAAGTAAAGTAGATGCTTGCTTTTTAGTTTGAAACTTGTTCGTTCATAAACAACTATGATTCATATTATCAGATTAACAATTAAGCACGCATAGAACATTATTAAGCAAAAATGTATAGTGGCTAGCAGTGAAATCAAAAACGCACGTTTCGTCCCATTTGGAACTCGTCAGCTGAATGTACCTGCATCGCAGGGTTGTTGTTCACTCCTGTACACGAACCCAGTACCGTTCGCTTCAAACGCCATGGCGTTATCCACTTAGCTACTGAGTTCTTTTAGCCACCTGCTTATGCACAACATCATATTAAATTAGTTATTGAGTAAATACTATTTTTGAATTGTTTTTCATTGTTTCTGTTTTTTCTTCCAGAATCGATTTACAGATTGTGTCCCCGTTTTATTAATTGGTTGTTCTTTGTTGGTAAATAAAACTGTGATAGCATCATCATCATCATCATCAGCAGCAGCAGCAGCATCGTTGTCATCATCAACATTATCAACCAATTTTAATCAAGAAACCCCAACAGATTTAAATCATTCAAATAACCATTTTTCAATTGGTAACAACAAATTCACTGATGATTTAGAAAAACTATCATTTCAGTGTTCAATTAATCATCATAATAATAATAATAATAATAACAAAGATGGGGATCATTGTTTAATATCCTCCTCCTCCTCATCATCGTCGTCGTCGTGCTCGTCATCATCATCATCATCAACCAGAATAACGACATCAAATAAGAAATATAATACAAAATTAATATATTTTCAAACAGAACCTAATTGTGTACATGTTTTAGATTTAACAAAATTAAGTAATGCTTTAGGAGATTTAAGTACAGAAGATTCACTTATCAATACTACTACTAATACTACTGATAATCATAATAATAGTAGTAATAGTAATAATCATAATAATAATGGGATAATTCATTCGAAAACTGTAAATCATCATCATCATCATAGTAATAAACAAGTTGCTTATCCAATATTAAAATATCTTGATGCTTATATATCTCAATTAAGTAGTTTCTTAGCTCATCATCCATTATTATTAAGTGCATATATGGCATTAAAATTAACTGATCCAATATTAATAAAAAATGAAGAAATTTCTGATCAAATTATAAATGATTCTCATATAAATCATATAAAATATGAATGGAATATAATTAAAATTAAACGTAATCAACGTTTACAACGTTTACATGAACATTTTTTAAATTTATTTCACGAAGCAATTGATATAGTTGCTATGGAAACAACACAATTAAATATTGATTTACAAATGAATAATCATAATCAATATATCAATAATAATAATAATAATAATACAACATTTATATCACAAGAGAAAATTGCTGCCAATTCACGACGTATTATGTTAACAGAATTTTTAGAATGGAGTCGTGAATTTGATGCTACATGGCATCATTTTCAATATGATATATGGAAACAAGCTAGAATGAAACAAACTATAGAATTATTATATCATAATAATGAAAATGATGAATATAAAATATCAAAAGGATTAAATGGATTATTTAATAAACAATTAAAATTGAATGAAAATGATTTATTCAGTATATTATGGGATGCTAAAAATGAACAATCATTCACTATGTAGTATCATATTGATATTCATGATGATGCCGATGATGATGCTGATGATGATTTGGTTGAAATTTCGTGATATTTACTTTATGTGATCATTAAAATGTCTTCCAAAATTGATTTATTTTCATTTAAACAAAAAACAAAAGAGAATTCCTTATCTTAATCTACTCTAATATAAAACAATATTCTGCTGAATAATTGTGACGTTTGAAGAATCAGAGAAGTATACACTCACACACACACACACACACATACTCGCATACACATATATACCTACAGAGGGAGACAGAGAGAGAGAAAGACATAAGAAGGAGACTAAAACTTGAGAAAGTATCCCTTACATAATTGTACAGATAAACATTCTTAATCATATATGCTTGTATAATTTAGAACAGAACAACAAACTAAACATGATCCAAATAAAGATATTCCTTCTTTTTTTTCTCTTCACATTCACATATATAGATCACTGGGAATACAGTAAACACATGTAATAATAATAATAATAATAATAAGTTGCAATTTACAAATTCACTATTTTCAGTACACAAACTATTTAAAGAAGAATACAGAAATCGTTTGTTTTTTTAAAAAAAAATTTCTCCCGCCTTTTTTTCGTTTCTATTTGTACTCATGTGTGCACGTACATGCGCACACACATACACACACACACATACTCACACTCATATACATACAATCATTAAATAATTCATGAATAGTAATTGTATGATATAGTGAATTGTGTTCTTTCTAGCAATTGCTCAATGGAAACTAATGTGTTTTGGTTTTGTTAATAAGTCTATTTTGTTTTTCTTTTTCTTTTCTTCAGTAGTTTATATTGTAGTTACCTTATATTAATATTGATCTGTCATTGTTTGTTTGCATTTTGTTTGAATCAAAAGTCTTCTATTTCCGTTTTTGTTTTCTTTCTTTTTCTTCTTTAATACAGTTACCTGGTTAGTTCGAAGTTCCTTTTTCTTTTTCCGATATGTATTCTTTTAAATATTTTAGATCTATCAAAGTGCCTTCAATAATTTGTCAGATTATCATTTTCTTCTTTATCTTCTTCTTGTTTTTTGCATTTTATTCTTAAGTTATAACAATACAGTGTTGTTTTTGTTTTGATTATGATCATTTCTTCTATCTATTTTCTTAAATGGATCTTTATATAATAGATAAAAAATAGTTACCATGGATACAATCATTTTAAGCGTGTCTCTATTCAAACATAATGTACATGCTTAAAAAAAGCCAATAGTATTCAATTCATTTAATGTTAATAAGAAATTTCGAATTGCATTATTTGTAATTCCATAAGGATGTTTGTCTAACTGTGGATTGTTTTTTTTTCGAGGAAAGTAACGATTACATAATATTTTTCTGATATCAGTATTAAGTGCCCTTCTGACGTCTAGGTACATATATATATATATATATATATATATTGATTTTTCCGTTACTTCTAATCGATGAACATATTTCACGATTTTGCATTTGGTTTTCTTGGTTATTTTGTTATGAATTCGCCATCTATTTAAGTACTACTGCTATGAACATTAATATTCTGATGATGATGATGATGATAATATTAGCAGTAGTCATAGTTATATAGTAATATTGTACTGACTTTTATTGTACTCAAATCAATATCTTTGTGTTTTGTTGATAAATCTACGTTTTTTTGTTTTTGTTTATATATACATACAATATTAGTAAGTTTTTGAAACCCAATCAATAAACAATGTTCTAGGCATCTTTCTTTTGTTTTTCTTTTTCTTTTCTTTTCTTTCTTTTATGTTTGTTCTTTTCTTTTTTTTTTTTTAAGAAATCCTTCTTATTGTATACAATTTTGTTGCCTTATATTCAATAATTCATTTCAATTGTGCCTTATTATTATTGTATATGTATCTTTATTGTACTTCAACTTTAACATTATTCAATTGAAATTGAATTCATTGAACAAGTTACAAAAAAAAGAAAGAAAGAAAGAAAAAAAAGAAAAAAGTACTAATTTTCTTCTTCTTCTTCTACTTTTTTTTCATTCTGGTTTATAGTTTGTATTGTTTAGTTCATTTCAACTATGCGACGTTTAAATTTTAAAGTCGCGCCAGTTGATTTTTCAACAACAAAAAAAAGAAGAAGAGGAAAGAAAATTATTTGTATAAATCAATGAAAGGAAAGAAATAAGAAAAAAAGAAATAGAATTTTAATTAATAAAAATAAACGTTTGTTATAAATTGGAATGTTGCTTTTTGTTTCTTCTTAAATTGAACTGCTACGTAGGTATGATAAAAAGTAAGCTAACCAACTTGTTCATTAGTCAACCAGATAGATAGATAGACAGATAGATAGATGTGTGGACAGATAGACAGTCATGACTGTCTGATACCGGTTGAAGTTTTGTTGAGACTTTAGGTCCCGACCGTTGTTGCTACCTTGACGTGGTAGTCGAGCTTGCCTATCGTGATCAAGCAACTGAGCTATACTGGCCGAAACAACTGTTCCTCAAGGTCCTACCATGTTAGACAGGTCGGTTGAAGAGAAGTAAGACTAAAAACAGCAAACCCAAGGTCCGAAGGTGAAGTCGTACTGCTGACTGTACAGAGGTGTGACAGCAGTAAGGTGTTTCCTTCAGACGACCAGCATGACAGCGATGCTGCCTTCCCACAAGGAGGGGTGGGATTAGAAAAGGTCGACACTAAAAATGCACACCTCGCCTTATCCCACGGATATCCGTCTCCAACGGTAAGGTCTCAAAAAGTACGGAGCTAACACAAAAATTACCCATAAAAAGTCGTGTGCGACCGATTTCAAGCAGTTGTCCCTTGGGCACTGTGGTCACGCTCTCAGGTCACTAATCCAATTTCCTCTTCAGGCACCTCCCGAAGAACCCTCCCACGGTGTGGGCAACCGGGAAGTGATAACCGCCTTCATACCGCTAAGAGCACTCAAGACCACTGGACTGTAACTTTAGGTGGCATAAAGTTAATAATAAAGATCAAGTGAAGTTTATCAAAAAAACATTATTGAAATATTTCATTATTTCAAGATTAAAATTCAAAGGCCTAATCCATGTCGGGTAGAAACAGGTATTTACCTTTGTGCAATGGAAGATCGTTGCACAATTTCGTGGATTGGTTGAGACTACACACTAACACCGTTGGATGCCGGTTAGGCATTTGCGCGCGAGACCGAAGACCTTGGGTTTGAATATCGCAAGGTGTGATCATGGTTGCTCACTGCTTAGGAGTCCCACAATAGGACGTAATGGCCGTTCACTGCTTCCTGGGTTTAAATGGTGATCTAACATCAATTGATTCATGATCTCAACCAAAATATAATGTTTAGGAATCTTGTTTTCATTTATCCCTTCTTGAGAGAATTCGCGTAACTAGGCGGCCTGCTTGAATATCTGGACTGCCTGTTCCTGCCATCTAGATATTTCAACAAGTTAACTAAGTTTCGTTTGTTTGAACAGATCATTATGTCAATTAATTGCGCAACTTATTCAGTTAGGAAATTGCACAGCCAGTAACTTTCTGGTTACTGACATTATATATAGAAAATAATGTACATTATTCAGATATCGATTCCTAAACTGCCAACATCTAATTGGCGATCACTCAATATTTATCATTAGGATGGAAAACGAAACTTGTTGAAATACTTTGTGCTGTGAATTCTATATGGTACCAAGAATGTAATACTGAATAAAGCTAATAATAATAATAATGTAACACTTAACCCATAACGAACATACAATTTTATCAATGAATTGAAATCCGAGAGCCAACAAAGTTTGGTGGATTTATGATATTCTAATCAGTAAAATCAATGAACATGGACTTCGTCTTGAAAATTGTTAAATTTATAAGTGGTAACTTTTAATTAGAGGTTGTATTTTTCATTACAAACTGGACATACATTACTTGACCTAGTTTTTACCAAGTAGAAAGCCCTTATCAGTTAAAAATTAGAGATTCCTTAAAATCTTCAGCTTCAAAACTCATATATTGAAAACTTAGTGAAGAAATGTTAGATGATATGTCAGAATAGTTTATCATCTTTCTAAATCTATCAAATGAACAAAGGACAATGGTATTTAGATAGCCAGGAAAGTTCGAAACCCTCGAAGAAGAAGAATGATATTACTGCTATTACATTCATTGAATAAACTGCAGCTGGACGATATAGACTTTGCTGATGATCTGACTCTCCTATCCCACACGCAAGAACAAATGAAGGAGAAGACAATTAGTGTAGCAGCAGCCTCAACAGTAATAGGTCTCAACAGACACAAACGGAAAAGCAAGATTCTCCGTTACAACACAATATGCAACAATCGAATCACAATTTATGGAGAAAATTTGGAAGATGTGAAAACCTTCACGTATCTGGGGAGAATCATTGATGAGCACGGTGGATCTGGTACAGATATGAAGGCATGAATCAACAAAGTAAGAGCAGCATATCTACAATTGAAGAATATCTGGAACTAAAAAGAACTATCTATAAACCAACACCAAACTCAGAATTTTCAATACAAATGTCAAGATAGTTCCAATGCATCAGGCGGGAACTTGGAGGACTACAAAAGCCATCATCCAGAAGATACAAGTGTTTATTAACAACTGTCTACTCAAAATACTTTGGATCCGTTAGTCAGACACAATTAGCAACAATCTACTATGGGAGAGAACAAACCAGATCCCAGTGGAGGAAGAAATCAGGAACAACCGCTGGAAGTGGATAGGACATACATTAAGGAAAGCACTGAACTGCTTCACAAAGCAAACCCTCACATGGAATCCTCAGGGTCAAAGGAGAAGTTGAAGAACAAAGGACATATTATGTCAATGAATAAAGAAAAACATGAGAAGGCTGAACAACAATTGGATAAAACAAGAAAGCAAAATCCAGGATAGAGTGAGTTGGAGAATGCTGGTCAGCGGCCTATGCTCCATTAAGAGTAACAGGTGTAAGTAAATGTAAGTAAGTAAACAATCAACATACAATCCAATGAGAGTCAGATACTTAGTCACAAATCATCGTCAAACTATCAAATACACCATCGTATAAAAAAAACAATACACAATACACAATGACAAGAATAATTTATATCGATTCATAATATTTTCTAATAACAATTTGCATACTGTTGATTTACAATAGTCTTATTACATCAACAACATAATAAGTATGATTACATCATCATAAGCTTATCTTCAATGATCTAGATGGATTACATGTGATTATAATGTATGTCAAGTTTCAAAATTACCAACAATATAAATACAATAGAATAAGACAATAAATAGTTACATTATCACTGTACAATACAAGTTGAGAATATATCTCAATCATAGTTACTAGTCATAGTAACCATAATAATAATAATAATAAATTTCTATTATGGAAGAACAATTCTTTGAGGATGATCATAGTTACCAACAAAATAAACGAATACATTTAGACATATAATAGACATAGAAATATAAACTTATCCATATATATAAACATTATTTTGTATCCATATATAGACATATGGAGAATGCTAGTCGGTAGCCTATGCTCCATCGAGAGGAATAGGCGTAAATAAGTAAGTAATGGATCAATAAAAGTGTCATAAATCAATATAATAACACAATCAAACATGATTCTACACGAGGTAGACAATTAGTAATATAGAATAGAAAGATTAAAATAAAATTTGATTGTTTTACATGGTAGAAAACAAACAAACAAACAAGCCAACAATGAAATGAAATAAAATATTGATCAAGTTTTAAAAAAAAATACTACTTATATTAATCTCTATGATTAATAAAGAATCGTAAGACATAAATGAAGAATATTCATTGAATTGTTGAATAATATGAATGAGTTAAAGTGGTTTATTTGAATAAACAAGATTATTTTTAAGGAATAATACTACTACTTATAAGAGTATTAGTAGTAGTAGTAGTAGTAGTGGTAGTGATGATGTCATTATGTAATTATAAGCATACTTGTACAACAACCAAAAACTTCTCTATCAATATAATTTGGCATCTTATTAAAAAAAAAAAGAGAAAACAAAGAAAAACGTCATTAAAAATGAATAGAATGACAAGTGATAATATCAATATGAATATCATGAAGATGGATCTAGAATTAGATGATGATTCTATTGAATGATTTCAAAGAATTTAACGACTGAACAATTATTTATCATACAAAACCAAAAAAAAGAGAAAAACAGGAGAAAAGAAAAGAAAAGAGAAAAAGAATGAGCAATTTTTTTAAAAAAAAAAATACATAGAAGAATTTTCAACAGAAATTCTAGACTGTTTTATTTATTTTCCATTTTGTTTGTTCGTTTGTTTTTCTTCGTTTTCAAGTGCACTGTGTATAGTTTGTACAGAATTAACGAATGAATGAGTATTCAGTTGGAACTGACTAATTGAATCCAATTAAAAACAATAACCACAACAATACTAATAGTGGATGAGTAAACAACCGATATGATTCTGTTAGATTATTCTTTCTTCTATATCAATGTGACAGATACATAGATTGATTGATTGATTGATTGATTGATTGATGGATAGATAGGATAGGACAGGACAGGATAGGATGGGATAGAGTAGGATAGGATAGAAAAGGATAGGATAGATAGATAGATTTGATGTATAAGCATACATGCATATCTATGTATGCGTGTATGACCTAACATGTATATTTATATGCTTACATTAATTGATTTCTAACCTGGTAACAAAGGAACAAATAAATGTGAAGCATTGAAAAATAAATATAAAACCGAAAACAAACAAAAACAAAAAAAAATAAAATAAAATAAAGTTTAATCCTGGTGAACAGATATTGATTTTGTTTCTGTTTGATAAGTTACATGTGTTTTTTTCTCTTTTTCAATATTATTGGCCCAATAAGCTGTATTACTTTCTAGATTACTCATAAGTTCAGGGATTGGAAAAACACCTAATAGGATATGAAAAGAAAACACAAAATGGAAAAATTAAAATGTGTATTATAAACAAGTTAAGCTCAAATTAGTTTCTTAATAAGTTAAGTGATCGAGCGCGAGACTGATAGGTCCTGGGTTCGAATCTCTCAAGACGGGATCGTGGATGTGTAATGCTGAAGAAACTCACAATAGGACGAAACGGCTATTTTAGTGCTTCAAGGTTTTCCATGATGATCTAACTTCAATTGACTTATGACCTCAACAATCGAAATTTATATTATAATAATTATCAGTATGTAGATTTTGGGGATTTAAGTTAGACTATCGATAATCTGTAAGCAATAAATAGTCATTTCATCTTGGTTTTAGACTCCACAGAGGTGCCTATTTAGAACCTTATAACAAGGAATCAAACCGAGGAACTTGGGTTTTGTTCGTTTCTAACCTGTAGTGTCGATTACTATGTTAAGCCAATACAACTTATTCTAGCTGCTGGACAGGCCAATTTATCCATTCTTCTTGAGTCACGTTTTATACTTCTTCATTATTTACTTATCCACCCTGACTATTTTTGTATGAGTGTATGTGCATGTACATCTTATTCAATTCATCACATGTCTGTAACTTATTTTTGTGTGACTATAAGTGATAATTAACGCTTCATTAAATGGAGTTAGCTCACATGCAGTTTTCATTGAGCGTCATTTCGCTTCGTTAGTCAGATTGTCTGTCCAGATCAGCTAGCGTACAAAATATGTGTATTCAAAAATCCATTCTCTTATTAAACTTATTTAATTCCGTTATACACCAACGCGAGTTAAGTCGATAAAGACATACGAGAATAGTCAGTATGTATAGTTTGACAACAATCATTCACCCGATCTAATTGGAGTCAGATCTCTGGCCAGTAAAGTGATGAAACCGTAAACAACATTGTCGGATCTAACTGATGTCTAAATAAATGGACCCACTAAAAACCCACTCCTACAGTGATGGCCAAGTTTGAGAGGGTTTAACCAAACTTTTTTTAGGTTGAAAAACTGGGTTCTGATACGTTCAGTGATAGCGAAAAGACAAACTCTTAATTCAGGTAGTGAATTTCATGTCATACAATAAATAATCTCAAAACCTTTGTTTAAGTCAACCTGATATTTGTTGTCCACCAAGTTATCGAGTATAAAACTCAGAATCATCCTTAATTATGCTTTGCCCAACTAGGTTGAAGGATGTTCGACAATAAGATTATCTAGTTGTCGAAATGTGCCTCTAATGTAGTTGGTTGATAGATACTCATGAGTCTGGCGAATTCTGAAAGTCTATCTTTGTTATTGGTTTTCACTATTCGAGCTATTGTATTGGCTGTAGGGAATGTTTTCTGTCAAGCTTTTCTTGATCTCTGTATTAGTATCTATCTGGTAGCATCATTTATAAACTATAACTTCAAGAAAATTAACTTCTTCTGAAAGGTTGTTATCATCGATGTGATTTTAATCACTTTTGTGCGACGAATTTAGTAAGAAAATCAGTTTTATTATAAAGGTTACAGATACTCCTGAATTAATCTTCGATAATGCCATCGGTGCAAATCACTGTTGCACGATTGGTTATGACTTTCGTCAATTTTATTCATATTCGATTAGTACTGAGTTGTGAAAATGAGTATCCTAGCTGGTCACTGATCTTCTATGTATGCCTCTTTTTCTGAAACACTTCTACTCTGTTAGTGTTATCTTGTTGTAGTAAATCATATATATGTGTATGACGAAAAACTGATTGGAACGAAATACTTCTGTTTACTAAATATCCAATGATTTGAAATCCATGGGTAACATCATGGATGATTTCCTGAAGAATCAGTTGGCAACATCATTGAAGATAGCATTTGATACAACCTTACTATGAGTACCATGCACTAGCTCATCATTAGTGCATATATGAGTAAGCAACGACATACTGTGACTTATTAATTGCATATATATAATTAAGCTAAGTAATTAGCTGTTCATTAAAGAATATTTCTCAATAAGTTAAAAAGTACTTTCCATTATGGCTTGTCAAAAACAACAGTGTTATAAAGTTTCTCTTGGATCAAAAATATGTACATTTAGTCGGGACAAACGTTTTCTTTAATGAGATTTTTATTCCAAAGATCTTTATAAGCTTCTAATTTTGCCAACAGTAATAAAAAAACGAAATCTTGCTAACTCAACTAACTCATTAGTAACATGTTTGACTGTGACTATGTGTGACATGAATCTCAATTTTATGAGGTACGTTTGTGGTATGTGCTACTGATATCGACTGATATCAGTAGTATATATCATAAGTCGAAAGTGAAATGTCAGGTGGCAGAAGATTAAGAAGATCGAAGGAAAGAGAACGAGAAACGAAAGAACATTGAAGTCTGAGACAATTAACTGACATTTTGTAAATCAGGTATTTCATGTATAGTTCTCAGATTTTATTAAAATGTTCTGTAATTTTGTATTCAAATACGTTCGATTGTTCCCGTTTGTGTTCTCATTCACTAAATATTCAATCCCTCAAAACTGCAGATGGACTATTCTGACAAGTATCACTTAGGAAGAAACTGTGCTTTAAGTCTTCATGCTTATTTCCTGTTGTGTCTTGTGGATTGCAGATTAGATGCGCAGCGTATTTATCGATCGAATCAATGACACGTAAACACGAAATGAACGACCTAGAGTCCCCGATTGGCCCTACTTCGCTGTATAGCGCAGCCAGTTGAGTCCAGAACGCAAGTCTTAGCCTCTGAGATATGAATCATTATATTTCAGACATACTCTATTTATATACCAATCAACCAGACCACATCGTATCATAAAATAGAAAACAACATTTGTATAATATTTAAAAAGTGAAATAAATATCGACCAATAGGGAGTGTAAATTTAAAGTCCAAGGCCATCATTACACTTAAGATGATAATTATTGGTATATTTCTCTGCACATCCTAACATTTCCTTTAACGTCGGACCATCTAAACTCTCATAGGTTATTCAAACAACACAAGGGGTGCCAACTGGAGTTTCATTTTAAAAAAAACACAATCTTTACTGTTACACAATTTAATAACTTCTTAGTTTCCTATTAATACATTGAACTAATGGGACTAATTTTAAAATAGATTTTTACCATAATATGTAACTGACTTACAGTCAAATCCTGAAAACATTCCTTTTAAAAAGAAATCAATAAATGATAATTGTGATTGAGAAATATTACAAGTTTGTCGATCAAAATTTGGCATAACAATAGGCAAATTGCGTCGTTTCTCTTCTTCCGTCTAAATTTTAAAACAGTTAAATGCATAGAATAAGAAAATGCTGCTTATACATTTTGGAAAACCTATTTTTGATATTTACTTGTTAAAACCATTTCATCGAACATGAATATGATCACAGTTTATGAAAGTATTGATTAGTGTAACCATTTAGGTAAACCAATAATATCGTAAAAATCATCAAATCTAAGATTGTATCGTTACTAAGATACAAGCATTGAGGAGCTATGTAAAGTAAACGGATTTATTTGATAAAAATAGATTATGGATAGCACCGGAACTAGGAGTTATTGTTGTAACGGGTGACTGCAGATTTAATGCGCAGTGTATTATCGATCGATTTCAGTGACAAGGAAAACGCGTAAGAACGGCCTAGGGTTCTGATTGACCCTGCTTCGCTGTCTATCCTAGCCAGTTGAGTCCAGAACACAAGTCTCAGCCTGTGAGTTATGAATCGTTATATTTCAAACATACTCTGTTTATATACCAACCAAACAAACCATATCGTACCATAAAATAGAAAACAACATTTTGTACAATATTTAACAAGTGAACAAATATCGACCAATAGGGAATGTTCATTTAACGTCCCAGGACAACATTAGACTTAACATGATAATGATTGGTATATTATTCTGCACATCCTAACAGTTATCAAAAGTAAGAATAAATAATACAAAATAACGGACGTTGTGATTTTAATGTTAAACATCAGTGTCGTAGAATGATGTATCTTGTTTCATCGTAAATTGATTGAACTTCAAATATATAACTTGCCTACAATGGGAAAAAATATGGCCGTCCAGTGCTTTCAGGTTTTCCATAGTGGTCTAACTTCAATTGACTTATGATCTCAACTATTGTAATTGATCATTTACGTTTAACCTTATTTGATTAATCAACTTATCAGATGAAATCTAAACTTGCTATATTGATTTCATCATAATGTAATGCATATACACTGGTGAAGAGACATGTACTTAAATGAAATTGATGTTCAGTTGTCCTTTAGTTTTGGATGGTTCCACAAGTGACATGAATTTCTTGATAGAAACGATTTTTCATTCAATATGTCTTAGTTCTTTTTAAAAAGAACATATAGAAAATAGCTATTACTTTTGTTATATCCGAGTGAAGATTAAATCACGAGTAACTTCTGCTGAGACATAGATTAATTGACTAATATTATCTATACATTCTTATGATATAACTATTCAACAAGTAAGTTATGTATATTTATATTCCTCTTATCATGAGCTTTATTTTGACCTATAATTTATTATTGTACGATTTACGGTTCTTAAGTTAGGTTCAGTTTATTGACTACTGCCTCCCATGTTCACAGTCACTTTTTGGCTTTATTGTGTACAAATGTTATTTCGTATTTTATGGTGCATTGCGGTCTGTTTGATTGATATACAAACCCAGTATGCCTGAAATAAACGATTCGATTCGATTCACATAGTGGAAGCTGGTATTGGTGTTCTGGATTCAAGTGGACGGGCTAGGCAAACATACGGCCAATAAGGACGTTAGGCTGCCCATACCAGTCGAACCTCATTGGTTCTGGCACAGTGCTAAGATTGTATAAGTCGTATTTTGATTGGTGGATAAATCACGTGATAAAAAGCCGGACATAAAGTCATAACAACTTTGTGTTATAGGTTTCCACATTGTTATCGAATAAACCATTAAAGACCTAAATAGTTCGATAAATTATTTTTTTCAATGAAACTTATAATACTGTGAGATACTACACGACCGGTATCTTAGTAACATAAATCAGTCTAGTTGTTAGCTCACATCAATTCAATCTGAATGAAGGTTTGCTTCTTATTATGATATCACAGAAACTATATGGAAAAATGTCAATAAAGACAAAATGCTTTATGAAGCACTACTAAGACATTTGTTCGACATATCATAAAAACTTAGTACATCTGTCTGCATCGGAATACCTTAATTTATTGACTGTAGGAGTTCTGTCAAAAAAATTATGAATTCAAACGTCTATTCACCTGTCTTATAGTTGAACCGTGGAAGAAATCATGATATAAATTTTTGTTTAGTAGACAAAAAGGAAACAAAGTTCAGGAAAGATGGATGGTGGCTTGCAGTGGAATCCACAACGAGCGTTTCAACCTATTTGGGACTCGTCAGCTGGATGTACCTGCATCACCAAGTTGATGTTTACTCCTGTACTCGAACCCAGTAGCGTTCGCTTCAAACAGCATCGCGTTATCCACTTAGCTACTGAGTGCTGATATCCACCTGCTTGTGAAATGGGGTGCTTAAAAAGCTTGTGACTTAAGGCTATATCGAGGCAATACGCACAGGATGCACATAAACTAACATGAGACTGATGGGAACGTATCAGTAAAATAACATCAAGTGAATGAAAACAAATTTTAGTTTTAAAAATTTACTTACTTGACAAAAGTATTCTTCCGCTATTCTTGTTGCCCATTCTTTACATATAGATAATGGTCTTGTAGGATTATTAACATCGGAACATTTAATAATTAAACGTTTAATTAATGTTCTATTTTCTGCAGTTGATAAGTTTTCTAGTGTACTAGATATACGTTCTTGTCCAGGACTTGGTGAAGTAGAATGTGATATTGTCATGCCCATAGAACATGATTCCATAGAACTCATACTACCGACAGATGAACGATCATGGTGCTATATTGAAAAAAAAAATAAAATGTTCTGCGATCAGTACATTATTTAGACCAGACATACATATTTATGTTACAGAATGAGTTTGAAGAAAGATAACATTGAGTTAAAATACTTTAATGAAGTAGAAATGTAAGATGCTCTGTAGTACTACATCAATTGATCAATTCTGATTTAATGGTATTGTGGTGTGTGCTACTTATATTGACATAAGTAGTATATGATATTAGTCGTGAACAGAAGATCTGGCAGCAGAGAGACAAGAGGATCGAACAGTAACGAATAGAAACAGAATGCAATTTGTATGAAAATGCAAGAACAATGAAGTCTGAATCATTTTGAGACAAATGATGGACATTTAGCAAATTAAGCATTAACTTTATGATTGTTAGATTTTATTAACAGGTCCTGTAATTTTGTGTGAAATACATTCGATTGTCCCCACTTTTGTTCTGTTCATTACAGTATCACTCAGGTGTAATATAATCACGGTCTAAGTATATCAATGTAACGTATTCTACCTCTAAGACTGACTATTTTGACGGTTGTCATTATATTTCTATATATATGTTAAAAAAACGTTTACTTGCTATTCTTATCATCACTCATGATCTTTATAATAATCATGATCAAAAACAGAACTGGTTTGAAACTTACTTATGATAAACTTAACCCACATTTAGGCTATAAGGCAAACTTCTAAGCAAAGATGGACAGCGGCTATCAGTGGAATACTGGACGCACATTTCATCCGATTTGGGACTCGTCAGTTGGATGTAACTGCATATCAGAGTTGATGTTCACTTTGGGACTCGAATCCATCTTTGCTTAGAATACATCTGAATTAAAGCAATATCCAGTCAATCCGCATAGGATGCAAATATGCCAACAAGAGACTAATTGACTGCAGTTTTAAACATCAACGGGAAGATTCAAGTAAAGAATACCAAGTGAATATAAGACAATCTGTTTTTAATGTTGATTTGTTCATACAATCAACCATGTAATGCAATACTTTCACTATTGATTAGTTTCAAAATTAATGATTGGGATAATTAACCTGATGTAAGAGAACAACCTCTAGGAAAATTAATAACCCCTTGATCAATTATATGGGTTTAAATTTCAACTAATCCGAATACAATCAAGGAGTATAATTCATTTAAACTGACTTAATGAATAATAATTAGGAGAGAGGGGTTTTGTGGAAATTATAGTAATTTAATAGTTGGATTCATGAGTCAATTGAAACTAGACCATCATAGAAAACCTGCAAGCATTCGACGGCCGTCATATCCTAGTATGAGACTCCTCAACAGTACGCATCCACGATCCTGCCTCGTGAGATTCGAACCCATGATCTATCAGTCTAGCGCACAAACGCTTAACCAATAGACCACTCAGTCCTCCGGCATACAACGGTATTAATGTTGAACTTCAACTAATTCACGAAATTGAGCAACACATACACCGTTGTTTTAAGTGAATTACTATCTTATAATAGACCCAGTTGAACTCCACTAGTCACTGCTTCTCAGTAGAACTCCAGGAAATAACTTTTGGAGACAGTCACTAGTGAACATATAATGATTATAATCAGAGACCGGTTTTGAAATCTAACTTCAATTGACTCATGAATTCAATTATTATATCATTAGAAAAGTGAAAAATTGAAGTTTATCTTCAAAATGAATTATCATCCAAAAACAATATTATATAGACAGTAATCACTTACACGATTCTTTGCAAGCATTGGTTTACTTAATGTATTTACAAATTTTGTAACAATATCAAAATGTCGTACCATTTCAGTAGATAATACCATATCAACAATATAGCTACGTATTGTACGATATTCTTCACTGTATAATGAATGAAGATTAAAAAAAACATAATCATCCAAATGAAACACTAATCATAACAATAATAAAACTTACTTACTTACGCTTGTTACTCCTCACGAAGGAGCATAAGCCGCTCACCAGCATTCTCCATTCAACCCTGTCCCGTGCAATCCTTTCCAGCTATTTCCAGTTGTTATTCATTCTTTTCATATCTGATTCCATTTCTCGACGTAATGTGTTCTTTGGCCTACCGCTTTTCCTCTTTCCTTCAGGATTCCAAGTTAGGGCTTGCCTCATGATGTAGTTTGATGATTTGCGTAATGTATGTCCTATTCATTTCCATCGTCTTTTCATAATTTCCTCTTCAGCTAGAAGCTGATTTGTTCTCGTCCACAAAAGGCTGTTGCTGATGATATCCAGCAGATGGGTGTTGAGTATATTGCGTAAACAGCTATTTATAAATACTTGTACCTTTTTGATGATGGTTGTAGTAGTTCTCCAAGTTTCAGCTCTGTACAGTAGAACTGACTGTCTTGACGTTCTTATTGAAGATTCTCACTTTGATATCGGTTGAAAGTTGTTTTGAGTTCCATATGTTCTTCAATTGTAGGAATGTGACCCTTGCTTTGAGAATCTTTGACTTTACGTTTGCATCTGATCCTCCTTGTTCATCGATGATGCTTCCCAGGTATGTGAAGGATTCTACATCTTCCAGAGTTTCGCCATCAAGAGTGATTGGATTGCTGTTCTTCGTTTTAATAATAATAACAATAATAATAACTAACAACAAAACTCATAATGATGGATTATGTCACTGGATAAATATCAAAGAGGGTTTTTACGAAGAGATTTTAGAAATTTAATAATTGAATTCATGAGTCAATTGAATTTAGACCATCATAGAAAACCTAGAGACTGATAGGTCCTGAGTTCGAATCTCGTGGGATGGGATCGTGCATGAACACTCCTGAGGAGTCTTATACTCGGATAAATATCAGTTGGTTAAAAAACAATTAAAAACCAATAGTAGACTGAAAAAGGTTCTGATCCTATTTTGTTTATTATCGAGAATGCTCACTCATAAAGCCATCGGATGTTATGAGGTACCTTTGGATTAATGGATTGTTTTTTCCCTAATATTGATATATTCGACTTCAGTTTGTTTATAGTATGGTGTGAAAACTACACAATCACATCGAAGAATAAGTGATTTTCACTTGAAATGACTTGGTGAAATCATTCATCATTTCTATTTATTAAGTCTTGATGGATTACATAATCCATTCAGCTAAATACGAATTATACATAACCTTTCTGAAGTACAAACGTTTTAAGAAGCGTCTATTACAGTGCAAATAAAATAGATCTTTCGTATGGATGATATGATAGTGTAGGGGTTTAAATATCGTATAAATTAAATAGGTTAGCAGTTATCATAATCCATCTGTCTATGTGAACTCAAAACAACTTTCAACCAATATCAAAGTGAGAATCTTCAATAAGAACGTCAAGACAGTCAGTTCTACTGCACAAGTATTATAAATATTACAAGTATTTATAAAAACGTTGTCTACGCAAGATACTCAACATCCATTGGCCGGATACCGTCAGTAACAGCCTTCTGTGGGAGAGAACAAATCAGCTCTTAGCTAAAAAGGAAATTAGGAAGAGAAAAAGGAAATGGATAGGACATACATTACGCAAATCATCAAACTACATCATGAGGCAAGCCCTAACTTGGAATCCTGAAGGAAAGAGGAAAAGCGGTAGGCCAAAGAACACATTACGTCGAGAAATGGAATCAGATATGAAAAGAATGAATAACAACTGGAAATAGCTGGAAAGGATTGCACGGGACAGGGTTGAATGGAGAATGCTGGTGAGCGGCTTATGCTCCTTTGTGAGGAGTAACAGACGTAAGTAAGTAAGTAAGTATCTGTCTATATGATACATCAACAGATCATGTACTTATGTATGATACTTTACAAACATTGTCGTAACATTCTGGAACTTCTGTCATTAGGATTGACTTGATTATTACAAATGATGTGATGTTGGTCGGACACTCAAACCTACTCCATCTGTCATGTAGTAATTATCGTCCTAGCCAGTGATCATGAACTGTTTTAATATGTTTCATTTTCCCTTAGTTATTTTTAACTAATTACGAAGCAATTGCTCAGTTTTGTGTTAATAGTGGTTTAGTTATGTACAAACTATGATTTCTGATTTATGGTGTGGTATGGTCTGATAGTGTATATCACTCTTGCGAGTGTTTAAGATGTAAGACATAGAAGGATAATATTAGCGATCTGCTTGTTAACTTCGTCCTCTGATTGGACACTGGGATTGGAAGTGTTCGTGGACTAATAAGCGTTAAGGTTTGGGTCAGTTTTTCATATTGATTGGGTCGTTCGTCTAGAGTAGGTCATTGATTTTGATTATACATATAAGTCAATATTCACAAAATAACTGCATAAGGAACAGGAATTTCTCATGATATAGGTAGTTTTGAACGGAGAACTTTATTCTATAATCAAAGCAAAACGTTGAATAAGTGAGCTTTTGTTACTGTCAAAATAGATTGAAACGGTAATTATTCCTCTACGATTTTGGTGCTGTATCCACCTCTAATTTGGAATTACCGCAAAACAATTACCGTGAATGGATACTTGTCATCCACCGACTCAGTTTGATGTTGCGGCGTTTTCTCTACTACTCTTCGTGTTTCGGAAATAAGAATATTTTGTAAGGTAGAATGAGATCTTCCTAACGTTCATTGGAACGGTGAGTTTGATGCATGTGTAGCGTGGTGTCGAGTCAAAATTGACTATGAACGTCACTACAAGGAAACGCGTACCAAACAAATCAGAAGGCGAAGGTTGAACGTAACCAGATTTAGTTCGTTGGCGATCTCGTGGTATCGAACGAATACCAAGATCGTGCTAAAAAATGGTACAAGCGAAAGCAGGAAAATGGAGTACGTGCGAACAAAGCCAAAAACCGTGGAACAACAATGATGGAAGGTAATGGAAGCACAAAATGGCTGTAATTAGCACAGTTAAACAAAAGTACATTAAAACAAGCACTGGTACAGTTAGTTATAATAATAATTATTTTCATTAAACTAGTCATGTTCTCGTGATAAAAGTAAGTCACTACACATGAATGGTCAACTTATAGAAAATATGAGTGTATGAAATACACCACAAGATTTTTAAAGACGTCACCTACCGTGTCAAATTCTGAAAAATATTGATGTCAGGTGATCGGAGGGTTAATTCAAATGAAACAGCTGCATGATGACTTTCTAATACAGCACTTGAATAGAAAAAAAATACAAAAAAGAATACAAATATAACGACTGAATAATTCCAGCTTAACATTTTAGATTCACTAAATAAGCATAAGAATACATGTTTAAGAAAGCCTACTTATTGCTTTATAAAATTGTACCAAAAAACAGAAAGACGAATATAAGCACGGATGTATAGTGGTTAGCTCTTGGATCCAGGATACGGGCTTCGTCCCATTTGGGACTCATCAGTTGGGTGTGAACACTAACTCTAGGTTCCAGGTATGTCCAACTTGAAAAAGTCGAATTCTACTAAAAATCATTCAAATCCACTTTAGCCATTAAGTATTTATTAATTTTGAATAACATGCATTATGTGATCTTGTCCAGCTATCGAAATCCGGACAAGTAAAGTAGGCTTTTAATTACAGCTTACTTAAACTACATAACTAAGGTTGAATATGTCATTTAGTCAATTTCTAGATTAACTGAAAGGACAGCTGCATAAGTATTCTGGATGATATTGAACCAATGTTCATCAAAAATTACTCAATCGTAGGTCAAATGATTTCATAATCAAACGATAATAAATAAGTTACACAGTAAATTTCACTTCAGCACTTACATATCATTGTATAGAATAGCTAATGGATCATTGCTATTCACAAGAAATGGATTTGTTTTCCCCGGGTGGTCTACATCATGTACTATCGCGGCTAAAAGTGTAGCAACTTCATCGATATTTGTGCAAATTGACTGGAAATAAATAATAAGCAACAAGAACACAGATAGTTATTTAAGAATGTCTATGAAAAGGGAAGTCTTATAAGTACATTTATATTAGCAATAACTTTAAATCATATTCTTTTGTTGTGTCAGATAGTTGATAGTGCCAACTAAGAATTGCATTAAAACCATTCTTGATGAAGTTAAGTCCGAATAGCGAACGCCTGAACAACAATCATTAATGTCACATTGAGAGACTTTAAGGGTAAAACTCCTCCTCAACAGTGCGATTATCGACTGACATTTAAATTACGTGGTTGACACTTAACATTTTGAACACTGAGCTAACATCCATTGTTTTACAACTATAAATTTAGTCAATTCGAGATGTTTTGACTTCATATTCTAGTTACACTAATGGGTAACTGCCTCACACTCGACTTGGTTAAACTTCACCTACCAGGGTTTTATGCTAGAATTCCAAGACTTATCTCACGGAATCAGACTACAGTAAACATGCAATTACTTAACCACTATAGCTTTGTGAATATTATTCAGTTTCATGATTTATGTATCAACTTGACTAGCAAATCAACATATGCTCACTAGTGACTGGTTTGAAGAGGTATTTCCTGGAGTTCTAGTGAGAAGCAGTGAATAGTGGAGTTCAACTGGGTCTATTATAAGATAGTAATTCACTTAAAATAACGGTGTATTTGTTGCTCAATTTCGTGGATTATTTGAAGTTAGACATTAATACTGTGGGATACCGGAGGACTGAGTGGTCTTTTTGTTAAACGTTCGAATTTTGAGAGGCAGGAGCGTGGGTGCGCGCTGCTGAGGAGTCCTATTCTGGAACGAAACGGCCGTTCAGGGCTTCCAGGTTTTCCATGATGGTCTAGCTTCAACTGACTGATGGTTCCTACCAATGAAATCAACTAATGTTTAAAATGTCAACCATTGGAGCTCTTGATATCCTTTATTTCATCTTGTATAAAGTTGTAGGTGTGCAATGCTGCAAAGCCCTATAAGATAAGGAATACAGCTATCTAGTGCTGACAGGATTATATATTCCGGTTATTAAACTAGATACTTGTATTAAAACAGTTGATATTGACGACAAAATGTTCAGTTATCATATTTTCATCCAAACTAATAAATTACCACTGGGTTATAGACATTGAATCTTCATATATTGTTGCTCACATTAAAATCATCTTTAACTTGATTATGTACTGGAAACAGTTTTCTTTTCATAAATTCCTTATGAACACAAAGACTTGGATTGTTAGCTCGAATTCTTATAGCTTTTCCTATGTGTAAGAGACGAGATCGAACACCATAAGGAAACCTATTATGAATACGACAACTAACTTTAAATGACTTCTTTCTGTCCACTAAATGACCGCTATCGATCAAGTGTGATAGAACCGAGCTGCGTATTGTCTTGAAATTACCTATTCCTAACCACGAAGGGAGGTGTTCACTAACTCTTTGACTCAGTTGCCTGGTAGTGTGCCAAATATAACTCTCTCCAAAGGAGCAGCTGCCTTCGTAGATTCACATGTATCTACACCTTGATTAGTTTAATAATTTCATATATGCATATAAATATTACTGTATATTCGAGTAAATCCTGATGAGGATCGCTTATATCTATGTTGTTCTAAAGTTAAATCGTTATGGGAATTAGAAACGAAGCAGTTTAAAGGAATATCAACATCTCGCTAGGTTTGTACCATAGTTAGTTTTTTTATAAATCCAAAAATATCAAATAATGTTGAAACAATACAGTCTCTCCTTCCTAAATATTGATTAGTTCACTGAAGTTCATTGAAATTTCGCATTTAACGGCATGTACAAAATCTTTATAATCTGAAAAGGTATTTATGAAAGATATAGTGCACATGAAATGGTGAAGTAAAGCCATCTCTCTTTTCGAAATGTTTGATTGTATGACTACGTAGGTTTCAGTTCAAATGACTCAATACTTCCAAAATATTAGCAACAAAACAACTCTCATTATTGATAACATACTATGCGGATACAGTTTCAGGTACAAGAAACTTGTACTGTCAGTTACTATGTTAAGCCAGTACAACGTATTCTAGCTTCTGGACAAGCCAACTTATTCATTCTTCTTGAGTCACGTTTTATACTTCTTCATTATTTACTTATCCACCCTGACTGCTTTTATATGAGCGTATGTCCATGTACATCTTATTCCATTCATCACATATCTGTAACTTATTTTTGTGTGACTATAAGTGGTAATTAACGCTTCATTAAACGGAGTTGGCTCATGCACTTTCTCTACCGTCAGTCCTTTCACTTTGTTCTTCTGATTATCCGCCCGAATCAATGATCGTACAAAATATACATATCCGAGATCCATTCTCGTATTCAACTTATTTAATTCCATTATTCAGTAACGCGAGTTAATTCAACAATTCTATACAAGGATAGCCAGGATGTATATTTCAATAACAATCATTCATACAATCTAATTGGAGTCAGATCTCAGGCCACTAAAAACGTAACGAAAAATTCACATTGAAGTCATATGACTCTTAGTCTTTTCATTTTAATATTAGACTGGTAAACTTACTCTTATTAAACTATGTTGTAGAAAGTAAGCTGATGCTTGTAGAACATCACCTGCATGTGTAGCATTATGGTATGGATTATCCACATGATAATGTTCTTCAATTACTGTTAACCAACCGACTAAAATTTGACTAGGTACACGTAGTACACTAAGAGCATTGAAACTGTCCAGTATCTTCATACCTAAATAAGTGAGAGGTCTGAAGAAGAAAAAAATATATATAAACAACGGATCTATTTTTAGAAACGATTAGGTTGCCGATGAAATAGTAAAGTTGAGCTCATATGAAATCAACTTGTATCGTTTTACATTTTTCCATTGGTTGTTTGAATCTTCACATCGATGTTTAGGACTGTAATTGATCAGTATCTTGTTAGAATATGTGAATCCTGTGAGGATTTTCTTAAGTCCTAGGATAAACGTTAACCCTGAGATGCAGGTATATCCAACTAACAAGTGTCGAATAGAACGAAACGCGCGGTCTGAAGTCCACTGCTAGTCACCATTCATCTCTGCTTATAATTGTATTCTTTTATGTTGTATGAATAAGAATTGTCGGTTGATTACGACCAGCGCGTGAGTTGATTTAAATAAACTTTACTTTATATATCACACTAACACAATCAGTGAAGAAGTCAGAAACGGGAAGTACAGTAATATCATAGTTATGTGACTCAATATGTTGAGTCATTTGAACGACGTATCTATACAAATCAATGAGAACAAACCATTACTAAACATTATTCATGAACTTTAACCAGAATATTTAGATAATCAGAATCCCATGTTTTGCAACACAGATATCCAAAACACATTTCCCTTTATTTCCATTGTATACAGACTTTAGACAAAGACAAAGGGAATTTGAATATTCAATTAAAGATGAATTTATTTCATTTTCTATGGTGAATGCTTCAATAGGCAAATTCTGAGCAATTTCAAATCATCTAGTATATAAGTATAGTTTTTCAACTCAACCCTTCAGTTAAACTATATGAATATTTAAGGATTTCAGACACTCAATTAACAAAGTATATTTATAATCTTGAAAGGAACTGATCTTCCTCATGGCTAATTTTGCAACTATACAAACAAATATAATTCTTTATATAATATTGACTACGAAAAAGCATTTGATTTGGACAGAACAACACTATGGAAACTTCTTCGATACTACGGCGTGCCTCAGAAGATAGTCAATATGATATAGAATCCCTATGATGGATTAAACTGCAAAATCGTGCATGGAAGACAGGTCAAAGACTCGTTCGAAGTGAAGACCAGTGTCAGGTAAGGTTGTTTAATCCCACTCTTTCTCTTTCTTCCGGTGGTCGACTGGATCATGAAGACGTCAGCATCTAAGGGGAAGCATGGGATAAAGTAGACATCTGGGATGCAGTTGGACGATCTAGACTTCACAGATGATCTGGCCCTCGTATCGCAAACGCAACAACAAATGTAGGTGAAGACGACCAGTGTAGCAGCAGCCTCAGCAGCAGTAGGTCTCAATATAAACAAAGGGAAAAGCAAGATTCTCAGATACAACACAGCATGCACCAATCCAATCACAATCGACGGAGAAGATTTGGAAGATGTAAAAACCTTTACATATTTGGGCAGCATCATTGGTGAACATAATGGATCTGATGCAGATGTAGAAGCGCGGATCGGTAAGGCAAGAGCAGTATATTTGAAACTGAAGCACATCTGGATCTCAAAACAACTGTCTGTAAGCCAACATCAAACTCAGAATTTACAATACAAATGTCAAGACACTCTTACTGTATGGGGCGGAAACATGGAGAACTACGAAAGCCATCATCCAGAAAATACAGGTGTTTATTAATAGTTGTCTACGCAAAATACTTCGGATCCGTTGGCCAGACACTATCAACAACGACTTACTATGAGAGAGAATAAACTAGATTATAGCGGAGGAAGAAATCAGGAAGACTTTCTGGAAGTGGATAGGACACACATTGAAGAAAGCACTGAACTGCGTCACAAGTCAAGCCCTCACATGGAATCCTCAAGGCCGAAGAAAAAGTGGAAAACCAAAGAATACATTACGTCGAGAAATGAAGACAGACATGAAAAGAATGAATAACAATTGGATAGAACTAGAAAGGGAGGCCCAGGACAGAGTGGGTTAGAGAATGCTGTTCGGCGGCCTATGGTCCATTAGGAGTAATAGGCGTAAGTAAATAATATTATTTTAAATACAAAAATACTCTAATGTTTACTTTTTATTAGTTAACCGTTCAAGATCAAATATGTTGAAGTCCCATTTATCAAAATTTGATAGGCAAGTTTCAATTTCTGGACTATTTTGTAAAGTTGACAGTGTTGTTGTAACATTTTCGGATCCTGAAAAAGAAAATCAAAAACATATGAAATCATTTGAAGTAACTATGCGAATAAGTACTAATTGAACTCTGTCTATTACGTTTCAGTTTTTGATGGAGTTTTGTTTTCGGAGCTGGATGGTTTGATCGTGGACCTTTCATTATTCTTCTGAACAATATCATCAGTACAAATCTTCTCCACCATCTCCAAATTTCAGTTTTCCCAATGATTTAAACTACTGGTTATCGAAATACATTTAAGCTTTCTCAAACATTTAAGACATCCGTTTTAAAAGTGTTTTAATATTGCAATGAATCTCCCAGTTTCAGATTTTTTTTTCAACTTATTAATCATTCATGCTTATGGTATATACTCACAAGCTTTGATTAAAAGCTAACATCCTATCACAATGTTACGAAATGGGAAGTTTAAACCTCGGCAGTGCAGCCGTTGATTACCTCACCCCATGTTTATCCTTTGAATAAACGAAGGTGAATTACATTGGAATTCATGGAATCAATAATTGATAGGTCAAAAAAAATAGATGCAGTAGCTAAAACGATGGAAAACCAACTCAATTAAGAATAGACTTGAGATACATATGAAATATTCTATTGAACTATTACGATTCGAACATACATTAGAAAGAAATTTGTTGATGCCCTATTACTGAGAATTCTTCATTGTTCCAAAGTTCATGGCATAGAAAAAAAACAAGTAATAATAGTTAGATAAATGAAAGTACGTTCTAGACATGAGATTTCGGGGATCGGAACTCACTACTGAGATGTACCCATACTCTTAGGAGAACTTATTATTCAAATATGAATAGAACCTAATATTACCTTACTTACTTGCTTACTTACGCCTGTTACTCCCAATGGAGCATAGGCCACCGACCAGCATTCTCCGACCCACTCTGTCCTAGGCCTTCTTTTCTATAGCTCCATCCAATTCTTGTTCATTTTTCTCATGTCTATCTCCATTTTTCGGCGTAATGTGTTCTTTGGTCTTCCTCTTTTCCTTTGACCGTGAGGATTCCAAGTGAGGGCTTGACTTGTGACGCAGTTCGGTGCTTCCCTCAATGTGTGTCCTATCCACTTCCAGCGCTTCTTCCTAATTTCTTCTTCCTCTAGGATCTGCTTTGTTCTCTCCCACAGTACGTTGTTGCTAACAGTGTCTGGCCAACGGATCCGAAGTATTTTGAGTAGACAACTGTTAATAAACACCCGTATTTTCTGGATGATGGCTTTCGTAGTTCTCCAGGTTTCCGCCCCATATAATATAACTGTGTTGATATTTGTGTTGAAAATCCTGACCTTAGTGTTGGTTGACAGTTGCTTTGAGTTTCAGATATTCCTCAGTTGTAAATATGCTGCTCTTGCTTTGCCGATCCGCGCCTTCACATCTGCATCAGATCCACCCTGTTCATAAATGATGCTGCCCAAATATGTAAAGGTTTTTACATCTTCCAAATCTTCTCCATCGATTGTGATTGGATTGGTGCATTCTGTGTTGCATCGGAGAATCCTGCTTTTCCCTTTGTGTATATTGAGACCTAATATTACCTAGTCTCAGGTAAAACACATTATCAATTTTGTCATTTGGGTAATAACTGATCTTCTTCAAGATGAAATGGTTTACACCACTAAGTCATAGATTAGTTATCAGTATCATTTTAGAGAAAGTGATTTAGCTATATCACTATTATTTTATTAGTGTGCATTATTACTTACCTTTTAGAGATTTAGCCAAAGATCGAAGTTTGAGTAAGTTCTCTGGTTCTCTAGCTAGATTTGATCCCTATTAATAAAAAGGGATAATGTTTAAACATTCAGTTTATCATATACTACTACTACTACTACTACTACTACTAATAATAATAATAATAATAATAATAATAGTAACAATAATAATGAATAATTTGGCATAACAATACGCTACATAAAAGTATTTTCTTATATTAGAGTGACTGCAAAGCGATGTATTACGTAAGAATTCACTAGTCGCATCCGGAATCAGATTAAAAATACAGTTAAACAAAAAAATATGTAAGATATATTTTAAAGGGGAAATTCTTAAATACATAATTATATGATTAAGATCATGAACCGATTGATGTTAGACCACCATTGAAAAGCTGGAAGCACTAGACGACCGTTTCATCCTAGTCTGAGACTCCTCAGCAGTGCGCATTCCGCCCGTGGGATTCGAACCCAGTGCCTTCAGTCTCGCACGCGAACGCTCAACCTACTGAACCACTGAGCCGGTATCCAATGGTGTTAATGTCTAACCTCAACCAATCCACGAAATTGCGTGACCATCTTCCATTGTACTGAGGTAGACACCTGTTTTTACCCGACACGGATTAGCTCCACTGGTCACGGCTTTTCAATGGTGGTCTGACATCGATCGGTTCATGATCTCAATCGAAAAAACTTAACAATCTTCACAACTCCTAAACTGACATAATTATATGAAGAGAAAATAGGTCGCAGTGTCGGTTACTATGCTAAGCCCATATAATTTATGCAAGCTTCTGGGTAGGGCAATCTATTCATTCTGTTTGAGTCATATTTTGACCTTGTTAATTATGTGTACACTTCTACTCACCACATGTCAGCAGCTTATTTTTGTGTGACTATAAATAATGATTAACGCTTGATTAAATCGAGTTAGCTCATATGCCTTCTCCACTGAGCGTCATTTCGTATCTCTCTCTTCTATTCGCTTCGTTCCTCTGATTGTCTGTCCAGATCAGCTAGCGTACAAAATATATGTATTCAAAAATCCATTATCGTATTCAACTTATTTAATTCCGTTATTCACCAACGCGAGTTAAGTCGACAATTATATACGGGAACAGCCAGGATGTATATTTCAATAACAATCATTCATACGATCTAATTGGAGTCAGATATCGAGCTACTAAGCGAATATATAATATGTTTTCATTAGTGACCAATCTTGAGATGAAATTCCTGGAGTTCCAGTAAGTAACCGTAACCAGTGGAGCAAATTTGTTTAGCGTGTGAAGCAGTTAACCAACTAAAACAATACAAGATAGTCACACAGTGTCGTAAATTGATTGAAGTTAGATGTCAACACGGTTCGATGCAGACTCAATGATCTAAAGTTTATGCGTTCATGCGCGAGACCAAAGGTCCTGGGTTCGAGTCCTGTATAAGGTGTGGTAGATGGGAATCGCTGAGCAGTCCCATATTAGGACGATACGGTCGTCCAGTGATTCTAGGTTTTCGATGCTGGTCTAACATAGATGGATTCATGATTTCAATGAAATTTAAAAAACAGATGGTTCATATATATATAAGTGAACAATACTGTATTTGGTTAGATCATCGTCATACTTTACTCAGATATACAGGAATATTTATATAGATACATGGAAACATCAAACTAATCAAGGCAATTTTCTTAGTCAATGATCATGATGAACAAATTCCTTAAGTACATATATTAGGTAAAGTATACAACTGATATCAATTGGGTAAATGAACTAATGATAAGAATAATGAAATAACAAACTCCTGATCAATAATTAAACGTAGGAAGTAGGTCAAATTTGGCTAAACAAACTTTAAAATAATAATCACACAAAACCGAACACTCTCTTATAAATTTCACAAGTTGAAGTCATGAGCCAATTGAAGGTAGACCACCATGGAAAACCTGGAAGCACTGGACGGCCGTTTCGTCCTAGTATGGGACTCCTCAGCAGTGCGCATCCACGAACCCGCCCCCGCGGGATTCGAACCCAGGACCTACTGGCTTCGCGCGCGAGCACTTAACCATTAGACCACGAGGCCAGTAGGTCCTGGGTTCGAATCCCGCGGGGGGAGGGTTCGTGGATGCGCACTGCTGAGGAGTCCCATACTAGGACGAAACGGCCGTCCAGTGCTTCCAGGTTTTCCATGGTGGTCTAGCTTCAATTGGCTCATGATTTCAACTTGTGAAATTTCTAAAAATCTCCACAAAACCCATTCTGATAATAACTCTCTTATAAAGTCAAACTGAATTGCTCATACGGAGTGTAATCAAAAGTTGATTCACATGAATTATCAATAATAAAACAAAATAGTTTAATCTAATTTCATAAAAAAATCTATGAAAAATAAATTGATTGAAACCATTTAGCATGAATGATTAGACTTACAGTAATCAAACCTTCAATTAGATCTGCTGTGATAGGATCATTTGTCCGACTTAATGGTTTCATTATTTGATCAACAAATACATTTGAACTACATATTAAATTAATAGCTTTTTGTAGATCTTTTGCTACTGGTAATGGACTGCGAACACGTGCAGAATTCAAAATTCCAATTACCTGAAATAACAAAACAAAGTAAAATAAATTTTATGAACATTTTAACCGAATTATTCAACTGTTTTCAATAATATGATTTGTAATGGTCGAGGTGAGGAGAGTCACCTCACCATTTCGAAATGTTCTCACATGGCCACGTGTATACAGGCACTAGCAGGGGAGTCCTACTCACTGCCTTCTCGAGGCAAGGGTATTGTTTACAACCTGGAGGAGTTGGAAAATACTGATTCCAAACCAATGGTGCACATGAGTTCGAGTATCCTAAAGGGACAAATGGAGTATGAACCAATTCTTGGTCACTGGCTACTATGGGACTGCATCTCCTGACGTTGCACCACTGCTTTGTCGATCAGACCTTTAGGTCGAACGCTCGGGGCGTAGCTCCCTAGGAAAACCATCTAGTTTGATCTAAACACCTGGGCAGTATCACAGCTTACAAACAAATAGAATGGTTTGTGTGGCGCATATGTATTCGGTGCCCCTTTGTAAATATATATAATACGACTTGTAAACCTGTTTTCTTTTCAGTTTTGAAACAACCATCTAGTGTAGAAAATATAAACATGAAGAATCAGGAAAATACCAAACGTGTATGTAGATGGCTGACCCAGTAAATCAAGAGAACTAACTGTCCTTATTAATTTTCAGATAATCTTTGGATAAATAACTATTTAAAGGTAATAAGTCTTCTATACCAGGATGAAATAGCTATCTAGTTGTATTTAGTTATCCGGGCTATGTTAGTGAATGATGCGAGCTGAGAGAGATTCAAAGTAAATGAATTCCTGATATTAACAGGCAAAACACTAAAATTTACCGAACCACAAATTATTAAGTGGAAGTTACTATGATACAAATATACAAATTTTTTACACACTGTAAAATGTAACACATTATCAAGTGAAAAATATCAACATTCAAGAAAAGAACAGTGATGGTATTCGGGAATAGTGGGCTATATACGCAATGTGTTAACATGAATTCAACAGTTAACCTCCACTAGCATTAATCAGCTTGTGTATTTTTATATTTATGCATTAACTTTAGGACTGTTTACATCATTATAAACAGTTTGATTTTAGACAATTGAAACATACTACTAATGCAATTAACAGTAGTTTGTGTAGTTACTACGTTTTTATGAAACCCCAAACTGTTTTGTGCAATTAAGTGAAACTAATTTATTTTTTAAAAAAATATATATTTAGTAAATATATTTAAGAAGAGGAAGACCAAAGAACACATTACGTCGAGAAAAATGGAGACAGACATCAGAATAATGAACAACAATTGGATAGAAGAACCAGAAATGAAGGCTCAGAACAGGGTGGGTTGGAGAATGCTGGTCGGCTGCCTATGCTCCATTGGGAGTAACAGGCGTAAGTAAGCAAGTAATTAGTGATGTCACACAGACTGTATTTACTGTGTTTTTCTGTCTTCTATATATACATTAAAGGATAAGTTAATAATTATTTGATAAATAACATTATGACTACAATTCAAAATTGGGAATTATGTGAAGAAGAACTAAAAACAACTCACTTTACACATTGGTGATGAAAAATCCGGACATCTAGAATGTAATAACGCACTTAAACTAACAATATTGTTTGCATCTATAAAACAAATCACAAATAGATCAACATAAAAAAAATTGTACCCAAAATGAATATAGAGTGTATTGATGTCAGTTAAAAGTATATAAAAACACAAGTAAATAATAAACATTAATAATCTTAAAAGTGATTAGAATTGTAAACATGTGCCTCTTCCTTTATTGTTTTAATTTGCATGTTTTTACAGGTACACTAGTATTGAATAATCAATTGAGTAGAACTCAACATATGGAACTCAAAACAACTTTCAACCAATATCAAAGTTAGAATCTTCAATGCGAACGTCAAGGCAGTTCTACTGTACAAGTACTGTAAATATTACAAGTATTTATAACAACGTTGTCAACGCAAGATACCCAACATCCATTGGCCGGATTCCATCAGCAACAGCCTTCTGTGGGAGAGAACAAACCAGCTTCCAGCTGAACAAGAAATTAGGAAAAGACGATGGAAATGGATAGGACATACATTACGCGAATCATCAAACTGCATCACGAAGCAAGCCTTAACTTGGAACCCTGAAGGGAAGCGGAAAAGTGGAAGGCAAAAGAACATACTACGTCGCGAAATAGAAGCAGATGTGAAAAAGACGAATAACAACTGGAAATAGCTGGTAAGGATTGTCCAGGACAGGGTTGAATGGAGAATGCTGGTGAGCGGCCTATGCTCCTTCACGAGGAGTAACAAGAGTAATTAAGTAAGTAACAGGTACACTAGTACATTAATCTATATTGTTGAAGACTGTAGGAAAATATGATTTGTTCTTCGAAAGGTTAAAAGCTCCACGACTACACCGTCTAGCTTAGAGAATAAAACTCTATCAAAATAATTTACCTGATCTACAAATCATCTCTACAATTTCAATAAGATTTGTTATATGAAAATGGATATATTTGTAGTTTATGTAATATTACGTGATCTTTATGATGACTGTTTTAATCTTTCACTGATCTCAAAAATTAAAAACTACATTAGTAGTTCATTTATTCATAGTTTCAAATGTATGAAAATGTCTTGGTATTATAAAGTGATATAATCACATGAAACATTGAGATGGTGTAGGAGATTTGTAGCTCAGATGGATGATTTTGATGGAGTTTTGTTCTCTGAGAAGTCTATCAATCTGAAGCTTGTGCTGATGATCTCGTTCAGAAGAACGATGAAAGCTCCACGACCAAACCATCCATCTCAGAGAACAAAACTCCATCAAAAACATGCAACATTGTCAAACGAGAAATATTATCTGGTCAACATGATAACTAATGATGATGATAATAAACATGATATAATTTTCAATAAAAGTAAATAAAACCAACCTATAAAACAAAGATTTACGAGAATTATTATGTAATTTAAAATCGTTATGAATTTCAATAGTTGAGTCACTTGAAGCTAAACCAGTGAGAACCTGCAAGCATTAGATAACCGTTTCGTCCTGTCATGGGACTCCTCAGTAGTGTACATCCACGATCCCGCTCGTGGGATTCAAACCCAGGGCCTATCTGTCTCACACGCGAACGCCTAACCTCTAAATCACTGAGCCGGTCGGCATCCAACGGTGTTAATGTCTAACTTCAACTAATCCACGAAATTGAGCGACACATCCACCATTGTCTTCAATGAGTCACTCCCCCACAACAAACACGGTTGAATACCACTAATCGCAGTTTCTCACTAGAACTCTAGGAAATGACTCTTGAAGGCAGTTACTAGTGAGCATATGTTGATTAGTATCAGAAGAGGTTTATGTGAATATTATAGTGATTTTTTTAATAGTTGAGATCATGAGTCAATTGAAACTAGACTATAATATCCACAAAAATCCCTTCTGATTATGAATTAACAAAAGAATACGCAATAAACAAATAATTCAACTAATCACACTGGGTTTCATAGTAAACTTTAAAGAGATTAATGTGTTCATTAGATAGTGAGCAACATGTATTTTACAAACGTTAATACTTTAGTATATTTTTTTTAACATTTAACAAGATGTTCATCTGTTTTGATCGCTTTTGATATAAGTACAATAATGAATGTATGTATAAATGAAATGTAGAATCATATTGTCTTATTGTGTTGTGTGCTACTGATGTCAACAGATATAAGTAGTATGTATCACTAATCAAAAGTGAAATGCCAGGCAGCAGAAGATTAAGAAGATCGAAGGAAAAGAACGAGAACATTGATTAATTGGTGTGGAAACGGAAGAACAATGAAGTTTGGGACTATTGATTGGAATTTTACTGTATTGTTCTCAGATTTTATTAAGATGTTCTGTGATTTTGTATTCAAATACATTTGGTTGTCCCCACTTATATTCTCGTTCACTACACAATTATATGAAAAAGAATTCAAAACTATAGCTGTTCTATGCATATCTGCATAACCGATTTATCATGGTACAGAATGATAACTATCCTCCAATGGGTAAAACTTCAGAAAACTACTCATCTAAGTTAACACATCGTTGTAACTTATTCACTGGTAATGTATTGAGATAGAAGATCTTTGCATTATGTAACGGGTTACTGATTATGACAGAAAAACAAGTAATCAATACGGTGGATTAAATTAATATCAACATTTTACATCACTGATATATTTTTCTACCTTCGGTTTCTATCGATTCTTCTACGTAGTTTGTATGATCACTGAACAATTTACTCATTACAATGGAACAAAGCACGAGATTATTCTCTATTGAAATTTAAGTTAGGTTGAGATTTTATACAAACAGCTATATTTTGACTCAATAAAAATTCTTTACATTTTCAAACTAGATATTGTTTACTTATATTCCCACGGTAAGGTGTTAGTTTGTAGTAGGCAACAGAAAACATTGTTATTCGGCACTCATCGCCAATAGGTACTTTTAATCGTGATAGAAATGATGCTTTCTGGCGGATTCGACTTCTTGTCACTCACTGTCACATTTAAAGACTTTACCAATGAGTTAATCGGGCAGTAACTGACCTTCTTTAGCATTGAGATATATCTACAACTAATTTATCACTGGGTGATGACCAACATCATGTTTGTCAGATCGTCCTTAGCAGTGATCAAATTCTATCGATCAAGTTTACATGTAGCCACTAATCGAAGTAGACTACATCGAGAATTCAATCAGCACAAAGAAAGACTTGACATACATGACACTGGTCACTACCCAATGATCCGTGATTGTAAGTATACTCTAGCTTCTCATGGAAACATGGAACATCAGAAGAAATAATTCTAAAATTTTTCTCATTTTTTTGTTAATAAATCATAATTCTAAACTATTCATATTATATTAGAGACAATCTATAACTTCAAGAAGATCTCAACTCTCAACTAAAGTCAACCCAGAAAAACTCATTTAAAAAAATTAACAAGAATCAAAATCTTGACACTACATGGTCCAATTTAATACAACACTGAAATCGAACGCGTCAACAACTCCACTTATCTTGGAAGTTTGATCAGCCCTAATGGGTTGGTGTCTGACGAATTCTCAGCACCAATTCAAAAGGTTCGTTTGGCTTTTACCAACGTACGTCACGTATAGCGAAGGCGAGATATCCATCTATCAATAAAAGGATGACTATACTGCGTAGCAGTTCGTTCTGTTCTACTTTACGGCCATTGAGAGTAGACGATACTCGTAAGTTGCTACGATTTGATCACAGATCTCTCAGAAATATTGCTCGCATCTTCTGGAATCACCGGGTAAATAATAGTGAGATTAGACACATGATATTAGTGAATGATGGTAAATCAGTTGATGAGGTTATGAATCTACATCAACTGAGATGGTTGGCTCATGTGTTATGTATGCCTGATCACCGATCATCACGACGCATAATGCCAACTAGTGTTGGAGATGGTTGGAAGAACGTTTGGTGCGGCCAAACCAATACGTGACATCAGTCATTGAAGCCATTTACTTTTAGTCTGAGCCATGTAGATAGATGCAGACTATCTGGTTGCGGTCCACATGACTATCGTAACCAATAGTTGGAGACTGTGTGTGACATAACTCAGGATCGATCACAATGGCGTCAGCGTATAGAGTAGTTATATTCATTTATGTTCTTTTCTTTTCTCATTTTTTTCTTCTTCTTCATTATTTTAATTTTGTTTTATTTTACTAGTTAACATGTGATTTTGTTTATTATTTAAACAGAATCAGGAAGAAAACCTTAAAACAAAAACCTTTTTTTTTCTTAAAAAAAATACAAAAAAAACCCAGAAACTTTTTAGTGTAGAAATGAACAACAGAATGATGATGAATTTGAAAACTTTTACTTTACTTTAATAAATTCAGCCATGTTTTTAAAAAAAATATTTGTTATTTATGTCATGAATGTGTATCATCCATGTTGTGCACAAGTTGAAATAGGTAAATGGTTGTTGCTATATCATTCTTCTTTTTTTTTAGAATAATCAACTAAGATACAACATAGCAGAATGGACTGTAGACACAACTGCTACTCCTTAAGAGTTGTCAAATGCTGGAATTTGCTGCCGTCCGAGCTAGTCCAAGCGACTTCCAAGGAGTCCTTTAAGAGGCACTAAGGATAGTATCATACTATGATTTACCAATTTGTTTTTCCTCTTTTATCGTTAACATACCTAGGTTCCTGACTGGAGGTTTTGGTGATACCCTGCTACTAGACACGGAAACCTGTTAAGCGAAAGCTTCTTCTATTCCGTCCACAACCATTTGAAGTAATTTCAATGGAAGTTTTAGTTTGCTTTTTTTGTTGTTGAAAAATCCAAACATGTACTTATTAATTTAATAAAGGAATTCATGAGTCGATTGAAGCTAGATGGCGATTTCGTTCAGTGTATATAAGACTATTCAGCAGTGTGCATCCATGATCGTGCCTCATGAGATTCAAACCCAACTTTAAGGATTGGTTAAAATGAGATATTAACACTATTGGATGTTGGCTCAGTGGTCTAGATGTTAATCATTCGCGCGCAAGACTGATTGATCCTACGTTCGGAACTTGCGAGACGGTATCGTCAATGCACACAGCTGATGAGTTTCAAACTAGGACGAAACGGTCGTCTAGCTCTTTTAGGTTCTCCATGGTGGTCTGACTTAAATTGACTCATGAATTCAAGTATTAAATTACTAAAATGTCCAAAAAAAACGCATCTCTGATTATATAACTTTTTGGAAATGAATGAAACTCTAATTTATAAATGAACCAATCAGATTTAAGATAGCACGTTTTCAATTTAGGCTCGAAATTTATTCATTCATTTGACTTAATAGCGTTTTGGCATTATAGTTTATGTCAGTTCGTGATCTAACTCTTAATCTTAACATTCAAATGTCAATCTTAATCCCAGTTCCTCATATTAACCGATAACCCTCATTTAACCATGGTAAGTAGGCGGACATTTTCAACCACATTGTAACGTTGTTCAAAAAATGTCCATAAATTGTAGTCTTACTTATCAGTCAGTATCAATAGATAGACAGTAGATTGAATATTTTTTCGAAAGATTATTTCATTCAACATTGAATCATTCTTGCTTTCTGAAATCTACAGATAGCTGAAGAAGAAATTAGGAAAAGACGATGGAAATGGATAGGACATACATTACGCGAATCATCAAACTACATCACGAGACAAGCCCCTAACTTGGAATCCTGAAAGTAAGCGGAAAAGAGGAAGGCCAAAGAACACATTACGTTGAGAAATGAAATCAGATATGAAAAGGATGAATAACAACTGGAAATAGCTGGAAAGGATTGCCCGAGACAGGGTTGAATGGAGAATGCTGGTGAGCGGCCTATGCTCGTTCACGAGGAGTAACAGGCGTAAGTAAGTAAGCAAGATATAGATCTGTTATTCGAATGGTTTAGTAAATGATTACAGCAATATACTACTGTTTTACGTTAGATATTAATTGTTAATTATATTTAATTTTGGATAATCAGTTGATCTGTTTCTTTTTTTTACATTCAATGATTAAAAGTGTTGAGTCAAATAATTTTAGTTCTGTTATTTATCATCACTCAGTTATATTTGCTATTTAAATCATTTCAAAAGGATTGTTCATATTTACAAAATTAGATGATTTTCAGTTCGGTATACTATTATTCTAAAGCAATGTGAATGAATTATAAGCAAAGATGGATAGTGGCTAGCAGTGGAATCCAGGACGCGCGTCTCGTCCTGTTTGGGACTCGCCAGCTGGATGTACCTGAATCTCAGAGTTGATGTTCACCCTGGGACTCGAACTCAGTACCGTTCTCTTCAAACGCCATCGCGTTATCCACTTAGCTACTGAGTCTTTATAGCCACTTGCTTATGCAATGGGGTGAAGTTTAATTCACTTGGTATTGTTTTACTTGAATCTTCCCATTGATGTGAATGAGTTGTGACTGGAGGTTTGAGTTCAGTGATTGAGAAAAAAAATCAAAACAAAGAAGTAAACAATGACAGATTTAAGGTCAATAAGAACCAATCAACATTGAGGTATACAGAACAAGCTGTGAACCGTATATGAAGAAATTCGAACATTTCATTTCTATCTTAAGTTTGTACTGATGACGATGTTCAGAATGAATGATGAAAGCGCTATGACCAAACCATCCAGCTCAGAGAACAAAACTCTATCAAAATCATCCACCTGAACTACAAATATTCTCCATTACCTCAGAAAAAACTTTCGTAGATTCATTGGAATGTCAATGTTGACATAGAATGAATATATTCTGCATCGTCTATTTAACAAAATAATGGGCATCATAACTAGATCTTTAAAATTAGAAATCAAGTAAGACGAATGAAATATTTATCTACATCAATGATATTGTTGTCGAAGAATGTTTTCCGTTTGGCTTACTACATAAAGAGATTGCATGCTCTTGGGATTACTCGTCATTTACTCTTACAATTTGTCAATTCTTGCATATTACCTATTATTGTTTACTGTTCTCCACTATTCTTTCCCGGACTTTTGAGGAAAGACTTTGCTGTATTGTGGAGAGTGCTGAAGGCAGTTAGCAAGATGTGTGGTGAATCTTTCCAGGTCATAATTAATATGGTTGTGGATAGACATTTAAAATCCTGCAAACTCCTGGCAGGTGTTATTTTATCAGATACTAACCATCTCCTTCACTATTATCTTTCTCCTTGTATATTTTCTGGTAGAACGAGACGTAATTACATTGAAATCCATGCACGCAAGCAAAGGTATAAAAGTTCTATAATACCTTACCTAGCAAATATACTCTGTGACGAACAGGTTGTTCAAGTGAGCCTAATCAATAACCTGAATTCTTAACATGTCTCTAATTTGAAAAGTTGTACAGTTTTTCGGGTTTTTTTCCTTTTTTTGTCTTTGTCACTGTTTTATTTTTTGCGTAAGTAACTTGTTGAAATACCCTATGCTGAGAATTCTATATTGTACCAAAACTATAATATTGAATAAAGCCATTAATAATAATATAGTGCTTTAAGTGATGTTTGAATAGTATAGGTGTAATCATTAGGGTTTACGAAGTTTACATTATAAATCCTCCAAAACTTCTCCATCAAATATGATTTGATTGATGCATAGAAAACTAATTCACTTTCAACAAAATAAAGCAATAACACACTAACCCATCGAATCTAATTTGAATGTAAATTAATTCAACTCTACTATTAAACAAGAACATTTTACCAACTTCTAAAATATAATTGAAAGAGAATACATTTACATCTCTATAAAATGTTGTGGTTTATTTTTTTTTCTTTCTAAATGATCAAATACATTACAAAAAAATTTCACCCCCCCCCCTCAGGTTAAATCGTTGTGAAGGCAAGGATCGGCAAAGCAAGAGCAGCATATTTACAACTGAGGAACATCTGGAACTCAAAGCAACTGTCAACCAACACCAAGGTCAGGATTTTCAATACAAATGTCAAGACAGTTCTACTATATTGGGCAAAAACCTGGAGAACTACGAAAGCCGTCATCCAGAAGATACAGGTGTTTATTAACAGTTGTCTACGCAAAATACTTCGGATCCGTCGGTCAGACACAATCAACAACAACCTATTGTGGGAGAGAACGAACCAGATTTCAGTGGAGGAAGAAATCAGGGAGACTTGCTGGAAGTGGATAGGACACACATTGAAGAAAAGCACCCAACTGCGTTACAAGACAAGCCCTCACATGGAATCCTCACGGTCAAAGGAGGAGGAGAAGAGGAAGACCAAAGAACACATTACGCCGAGAAATGGAGATAGACACGAGAAAAATGAACAAGAATTGGATGGAGCTATAGAAAAGAAGGCCGAGGACAGAGTAGGTTGGAGAATGCTGGTCGGCGGCCTATGCTCCATTGAGAGTAACAGGCGTAAGTAGAAGCTATTGGAATCAGATAATCTATGTGAAATGTAACAGGCGTAAGTAAGTAAGTAAGTCAAGTTAAATCACTAAAGAAGTTTTGTTTTTTTAGTTAGAAAACTACTACATACCTGAGTTTCTAGTTTTTCGTACGGAGATAAATTCTCTAAATTTCCTGAGTTGAAAGAAGAAAAAAAAAGAAAACAACAATAACAACGAGAAAAAATAGAAAAAATTTTTTAAAAAACTTATTCTTATAGTAAAATACAGTAAAATTGTTATCCGGAGGGTTTTTTTAAAAAAAAAAAAACAAAAAAAATAAGAAAGAAAGAACATATTTTGTATGATATAATAGAATTTAAGTAATATAAATCATATAGATGTTATATCATATATTCTTGTGAGATAGGGTAATGTTTGACATTTGGTTTTCAGGAGAATTAAACATCATTCAAGTGACAGACTCGTTCGAGGTAAAGACTGGTGTCAGACAAGGTTGCTTACTCTTACACTTTCTCTTTCTCCTGGTGATCGACTGGATTATGAAGATGTCAACATCTGAAGGGAAACATGAGATACAGTGGACATCTAGGATGCAATTGGACGATCTAGACTTCACAGATGATCTGGCTCTTCTATCGCAAACGCAACAACAAATGCAGGAAAAAATGATCAGTGTAGAAGCAGCCTCAGCAGCATTAGGTCTCAATATAAACAAAGGGAAAAGCAAGATTCTCCGTTACAAAACAACATGCAACAATCCAATCACAATAGACGGAGAAGATTTGGAAGATGTAAAAACCTTCCCATGTACAGGCAGCATCATTTATCAACACAGTGGATCTCATGCAGAGGTGAAAGCGCGGATCGGTAAAACGAGAGCACTATATTTGCAACTGAAGGACATCTGGAACTCAAAACAACTGTCTCTAAACCAATATCAAACTCAGAATTTTCAATACAAATGTCAAAACAGTTCTAATGTATCAGGCGTAAACTTGGAGAACTACAAAAGCCATCATCCAGAAGATACAGGTGTTTATTAATAGTTGTCTACGCAAAATACTTCGGATCTGTTGTTCGGACACTATTAGCAACATTCAACTGTGGGAAAGAACAAATCAGATCCCAGCGGAGGAAGAAATTAGGAAGATGCGCCGGAAGTGGATAGAACACATACTGAGAAAAGCACCGAATTGCTTCGCAAGACTAGCCCTCACATGGAATCCTCAAAGCCAAAGAAGGAGGAGAAGAGGAAGAACAAAGAACAGATTACGCTGGGAAATGGAGATAGACATGAGAAGAATAAACAAGAATTGGATGGAACTCGAAAGAAGGGCCAGAACAGAGTTGGAGAATGCTGGTCGGCGGCCTATGCTCAATTAGGAGTAACAGGCATAAGTAAGTAAGTAAGTGAACATTATTCAGACTTTCATGTGACAACTCAATACAGTATAGCTCAATCCTGTTTAATATGAGGGCCAAATACCGTCTAGGCTTAATATTTGTAGCCCAAATAGTATGGCTCAATTGGTGTTAGAAGTTAAGCGTTCCAGCGCGAGAATGATAGGTCCTGGGTTTGAATTTCCCGAGCTGGGATCGTGGATGTGCACTGCTGAGGAGTTCCACAATAGGACGAAACGGCCGTTCAGTGAGTTCAGGGTCCAGTATAGATGTAAGTAGATAAAAAAATATTGTATCATTTTTAATTCGAACAAATTCTATCATTTGAAATGAGATAAGGAATGATTGTTTGAAGTGATGGAAATTACGTGATTCTATATATGTATATATATATATAAACTTAAATCATAGTTTATATCTTCATTCTACTACTCGTTGAACATGGAGTCTATCACCATTCATCTTAACATTTGTAGAAGTAAGACTTAATATACGTGACTAAAAAGTTTTATATCACTTAAATACTTATAAAAGAGTATAAAACTGCTATATTTAAGACAGTTATTTTAAGATTAAACAGCTCATCTCATTTTGTGCACATTAATCTAAGATAACTAAAATCAAATTAATCACAATTGATTGGTCATTGAGTAGTGACCAATGTCATGTATGTCAGGTCTTTCTTAATGCAGATCAAATTTTATTGACCAAGTTGCAATGTGGCCACTAGTCTAACTGACTCGACATTGCGTACACTATTTTAAGTTATGATGGTGGTTGAAGGTAGTCAATAAGAAGGACTTGAAAAACATGACACTGATTACCAACCATTGATCAATCAATTGTGAATACATCTCAGTCCTACAGGAGGTTAATCACGATCCGATAGCTCAGTAGTAACATCTTTGACTATGAAACTGGGTGACACGGAATTGAAATCATCAAGAAACACCAATTCTTTCAAGATTACAGATACACCTTACTGACGAGTGACAAATAACACGGAACATAAATTCACGGTTTTCTGTTGAGTACCTTCAACCATCATCTTAAAATCAAATTAAACTGAATTCATGATAACATTATCGTTGTGTTTTTTGTGTTGTTGTTGTTGTTGTTGTTTCAGAAATATCACTATAGTATAATAAATTATAAAGAATCTATTTTCAGGATAGATCAATAATATATACGCATAAATCTATGCATATAAATCAGTTCATGTGAAAGGTGGAATTTTTATTTATTTATTTATTTTTTCAAAACTAACAACCACATATACGCACACACACACATATGCACACACACACACAAGATCAAACACAAAAGCGCATAGTTACAAACATGTAAAAATAAAAATAAAAGGGATACACATTGGTACTATAATGAAATTTATCAAATTTTCGTAAGTTTAATAAAGTGACATAAAAGAAAGTGACATTTTGTGTAATACTTATTATGTGTACACGTAGTTTTCATCTATACATATGGGAAACTATGGAAAACTGAAAGTTAGATGGACAAAAATTAATAATACTAAATTAATATCGAACTTGATAACCATTGTATCGTTGTTAGAACGTTCAGTTATAGTAGTTGGGTTTCCACGTTTACACGTACGGGACGTTAATTTACCTTAGATGAATATCTACAGTAGATTTCCTTCCTAGTGTCGATTCTACAGGACTTCAACACAACTCAGATCATGAACACGTGATTAGCCTGACTAGAAAGTAAATATATTTCCACACCAAAACTCGACACAATCCAACAACAATGAACAATCAATAATAATAATAATAATAATAATAATAATAATAATAATAATAATAAGGATAAGGGAAAATAAAACTCATCTGACATCTGTCAGACTATCTGCATGTTTGACTAAGCAGATAACCAATCATTATCATTCTCGCCCATACATCAATTGTGAATAGTATTTAGCATAAATTTATAACGTTTATGTTTGTAGATCGTAGTTATCACAGACTAATGTCAGTTGGAGTATTATTAGGAAGCAGAAATCTCTACAGCTGGTTTGTATTAAAGTTGAAGTACTCAGCGATGGGCACTCATTTATTCACCAGGATTCAAAGCAAGGACATCTCAGGGTCTTTTAGTATATGTTTGTCATTCAAATTATTAAGTTAACATTTATTGGCTTATGTCTCTAACCACAGTCAACACTAAGCAAGATGTTTATTATGTATTAGTGCCAAGGACTTCCTTGTATTTCCTAATTTCATAGTTTTTACTGTATGAATTATTGGATAGATATTGCTTTGGATCATGTAAAAACCTTCCCATATCGGGGTAGCATCGTTGACGAGCACAGTGGATCTCATGAAGATGTGAAGGAACGAATCGACAAAGTAAGAGCAACATATCGACAACTGAAGATTATCTGGAACTCAAAACAACTGTCTCTAAACCAACATCAAACTCAGAATTTTCAATACAAATGTCAAGACAGTTCTAATGCATCGGGCGTAAACTTGGAGAACTACAAAAGCCATCATCCAGAAGATACAGGTGTTTATTAACAGTTGTCTATGCAAAATACTTCGGATCCGTTGACCAGGCACTATCAGCAACAACCCACTATGGGAGAGAAGAAACTAGATTCCAGTGGAGGAAGAAATCAGGAAGAAACGCTGGAAGTGGATAGGACACATATTGAGGAAGGCACTCAACTGCGTCACAAGACAAGCCCTCACATGGAATACTCAATGTCAAAGGAGAAGATGAAAAATAAAGAACGTGTTATGCCGATAAGTGGAGACAGACATGAGAAGACTGAACAACAATCGGATAGAACTAGAAATGAAGACTCAGGACAGAGTGGGTTGGAGAATGTTTGTTGGATGCCTATCGTCCATCGGAAGTAACAGGCGTAAGTAAGTAATTATTGTTTTTGTTAGGGATGCAGAGGAATGTACCAATCATTATCATGTTAAGTCTAATGATGTCCTAGGACTTTAAATGGACATTCCCTATTGGCCATCATTTATTTCACTCGTTAAATATTGTACAGATGTTGTTTTCTTGTTTTATGGTACGATGTGGTCTGTTTGGTTGGTATATAAATAGAGTATGTTTTAAATATAACGATTCATATCTCAGAGGCTGTGACTTGTGTTCTGGACTCAACTGGCTGGGTTAGACAGCAAAGCAGGGCCAATCGGGGACTCTAGGTCGTCCGTACGTGTTTACGTGTCACTGAATCGATCAATAAAACGCTGCGTATCTAACCTGCAATCCACCCGTTACAACAGTTTTGGCCAATGATCTCCGATCTCTTTGATGCGTACTACAAAGGCGTTTCATAATAGTTCAAAACAGCTATAAACTGCTTTTTAGTTTTCAGCGGATAACCAAATTTGGTCGGTTTGCAACACCAATATTATTTCTAATTACTTAGCGTCTTTTTTGAAGCTGTCTGTCAATGAAATTTGGCAATTTCCGTAACCACTTACTGGCATTTATAATGTGTCCATTAGTGACCAATCTTGAGAGGAAATTCCTGGAGTTCCAGTAAGTAACCGTAACCAGTGGAGCAAATCTGTGTAGCGTGTGAAGCAGTTAATCAACTAAAACAATAGAAGATAGTCACACAGTGTCGTAAATTGATTGAAGTTAGATGTCAACACGGATTGATGCAGACTCATTGATCTAAAGATTATACGTTCGCCCTAGGTTCGAGTCCTGTATAAGGTGTGGTAGATGGGAATCGCTGAGCAGTCCCACATTAGGACGATACAGCCGTCCAGTGATTCCAGGTTTTCGATGGTGGTCTAACATAGATCGGTTCGTGATTTCAATAAAATCCAAAAAACGAATAGTCCATATATATATCACTTGTTGCATATGGTATATTAGTACTTTCTAAATACACGCATTGTCATTATAGTTAAAATTTCAATTATAATTATCTCAAATAAGATGCTATACAATATTTGATAATAACAGCAAACTTACTTTCCTTGCTCATGTAGCACAGTGACTGAATCAATAACATTGGCTTTCAGTTCATCCGTTGATGCTATTTCATTATCTACGGACTCTTTAATTGTCGGCTGTCTAGTCTCTGATTTCATTTCAAATCTACACTCATCTTTTGGGAAAATCTAAAATGCAAAGTGTGAAATTAATAATCATGGCTTTATTCGCCACAAAAACCTTCGGTACTAATTTCTTGAAGTATATATTCAAATAGTGATTATTCAACACATAATTTAAAATTACAAGTGAAGCTGGATGATGGCTAGCAGTGGAATCCAGGACACGCATCTCGTCCTGTTTAGGACTCATCAGTTGGACAGACCTACATCTCAGAGTTGATGTTCATCGCGGTTCATCCAGCTGACGAGTTTTGAAATAGAAAGAAACGCACGTCCTGAATTTAACTGCTAGCCACCATCCATCTTCGCTCACAATGCTTGTGACGTAAGGTAATATGAAAACGATCCGCACAGGATGAACGTATGCCAATAAAAGATGGATCAATTTGCAATTATAATCATCAATTGAAAAAATTCAAACAAACAATACAAAATAAATTAAAATTTTAAAATTGTCACTACCCTCATACAATCATGAAAGTTTGGTTACCAGTTTAGTTTCTACAACAGAAATTTTTCCCATCATATAAAGTGTTTAAAGTTTCTAGTATTTAGTTTCATAGCAATATGTGATCCTTTTTAATTACCATATAAGTACTTACAGTTAGTATCCATAGTGATTCATTCATAACAAATTTAAAACAAGCAAGTTAAGTGCAATAATTGCGCATTTAATGATAATGATAATGATAATAATAATTAAAGCCTTTAAAATTAGGTATGAGGAATTGTGTTTTCAAACATAACAACAGAAACTGATCAAACTATGCTCTGATTTGTGTACATTCTAATTTTGAAGAATAATGATCAATGAAAAACTCATATACAGAATGAAATTTAAACGTAGTTTTATTCGGTTTCTTTTATCAAAACTGATAAGATGTAACAATCAAAGTAACATACAATAGATAAATTATGAGGATTTGGTTGAAGTTAATCAACAAAAAACACTAGATCTATGCTTAATACTATTTGGTATTCATCAAAAAAGAAGTACTTGTAATCTTGAGAGAAATTGATAGTGCCTGACGGATTCAATCCTTTGTTATCCAACTTCGCAGTTAGAGATGATACAACTGAGCTTTCGGCGACGTGAATTTATATCTTAACACGCGTTGACGAGTTACCTAGTGACTAGTGACCATATTACAACATGACCGACAGAACTCTATCCGTACGAAGAATGACTTGATATACATAACAACAACAACAACTACCCAGTGATCAGTCATTTATAAATGAACAGATGATCTTAACATATTTAAGTCGTTCCAAAAATTTGTCGGCTGATCAGTTAGTCACTGATAACGGATAATCCGAGATGTTAGTGTATCGGTTAAAGCTATAAAAACCGACATCAACGAAATGATTGAGAAAACAGATACCGACATCACATCTAATTGATACACAATAAAAAACCTATTCACATAAATTCAATTACAAAGGGGAATAATGTTATCAGGAATTACTTATACAACTCAGTAAATAAGTAATCTTTGCTTGTTGTGATATTTTGATTTTACAATGTAGTACATTGTACTAATGCATTAATTTACTGATGAATCAAGGTTAAATGTTACACATTTTGGTTATTTTTTATAAAGATGGTTGAAATTAGACATTGACACCGTCAAAGGTTAAGCGTTCGCGAACGCCAGTGAAGATCCTAGGTTCGAGGCCCACGAGCGAGATCGTGGATGCGCACTAGAACGAAACGGCTATCCAGTGCTCCCAGGTTTTTCATGGTGGTCTAACTTTCAACGGCTCATGAATTCAATTATTAAATACATATAACTATTGATAAGTGTAAAATAACAATTAAGAATCTGTATATTCAGATACAGGATATCTTTTTGGATGTATTTTTCACATCTGTTATAACTTGTGGCCTGCGTGCCCTGCTAATGTATAACGTAATGATACCGCTAATTAGAAAGCAGTGAATTATCGATTGAACCAGTGACGCATAAACCAATGCGAGAGCAGTCTAGAGTATTTATCGGTCCTGCTTCCTGACTAGCCCAACCAATTAAGTCCAGAACACCAATCTCAGCCTCTGCGATATGAATCCTGTATTTCGAAAACGATGTCTTCGGCCATTATTATTATTGTTATTATTATTATTATTATTATTATTATTATTATTAATCATTATTATTAGTGGCTTTATTCAACATTATATTTTTAGTACAACATAGAATTTTCAGCACAAAGTATTTCATCGAGTTTTCGTTTCTTATTTCTTGATCGATCCTGGCAATAAATATTAAGTGATCGACAGATAGTAGTTAGCAGTCCAATCAATCGATATCTGAATAATGTATATATTCTTTTCAATGAACATTGGCAGCAACCACAATATGTTTGATTGGGCCTTATGTAACTTGTACAAAGAAAGGTTGTACATTTTTCACGAACGCATCTGAATTGTTTATGTGATTAATAACCATAATGATGTAATGAAATTAGATTACTTGTTGAAGTATCTAGATGATAGGAACAGGTAACCAAGATGTTCAAAGCAGGCTAAATTCATCCGGTAACTGTTGCGAATTTATGTCCGGCTTATTATCACGTGATTTATCCGTCAATCGAAATACGATTTATACAATCTTCACACTGTGCCAAACCAATGACGTTCGACCGGTATGAGCAGCTTAGCGTTCTTATTAGTCCTATGTTTGCCTAGCCCATCCAGTTGAGTTCAGAACACTAATACCAGCTTCCAATATGCGAATCATTATTTACATATCGACCAAATAGACCTCAACGCACCATAAAATAGGAAATAAAATTCGCCAAAAAGTGTCTGGGAACATGGGAGACAGTAATTAATAAACTGAGCATGATTTAGGGGAAGTAAATCGTACAACAATACATTATAGGTCAAAACGAAGATTATAATAAGGGGAATATACATAATCTAATTACTGAATAGTTATACGATAAGAATATATGTTTACTTACTTACGCCTTTTACTCCTCGTGAAGGAGCATAGGCCGCTCATCAGCATTCTCCATCAAACCCTGTCCTGGACAATCCTTTCAAGCTCCTTCCATTTCTTATTCAGCCTTTCCGTACCTGCTTTTATTTCCCGACGTAATGTGTTCTTTGGCCTACCGCTTTTCCTCTTTCCTTCAGGATTCCAAGTTAGGGCTTGTCTCATGATGCAGTTTGACGATTTGCGTAATGTATGTCCTATCCATTTCCATCGTCTTTTCTTAATTTCTTCTTCAGATGGAAGCTGGTTTGTTCTCTCCCAGAGAAGGCTGTTGCTGATGGCATCCAGCCAATGGATGTTGAGTATCTTGCGTAGACGGCTATTTATAAATACTTGTACTTTCTTGATGGTGGTTGTTGTAGTTCTCTAAGTTTCAGCTCTGTACAGTAGAACTGCCTTGACGTTCGTATTGAAGATTCTCACTTTAATATTGGACGGCAGTTGTTTTGAGTTCCATATGTTCTTCAACTGCAGGAATGCTGTCCTTGCTTTGCTAATCATCGCCTTTACGTCTGCATCTGAACCTCCTTGTTTATCGATGATGCTTCCCAGTTATGTGAAGGATTCCACCTCTCCCAGAGTTTCGCCATCAAGAGTGATTGGATTGCTGTCCCTCGCTTTGAATTTGAGGACCTTGGTTTTCCTTTTGTGTATGCTGAGGCCTACTGATACAGAGACTGCTGCTACACTGGCTGTCTTCATCTGCATCTGCTCGTTTGTACGCGATGGGAGGACTAGGTCATCTGCGAAGTCCAAATCGTCTAATTGATTTTGAGCTGTCCATTGTATTCCGTGTTTTCCCTCAGATGTCGAGGTCTTCATAACCCAGTCGACCACCAGAAGAAGGAGGAAGGGAGAGAGTAGGCTGCTTTTCCTGACTCCGATGTTTACTTGTAATGCATCTGTCAGCGGTCCTCCATGCACGACCTTGCACTGTAGTCCGTTGTATGAGTTCCGGATAATATTGACAATCTTCTCAGGAACTCTGTATAGATAATATTAATCCATTGATAGATCTCAGACGTTATTCGTAATCTAATCTTCATTAGGATATGACTGTAACATTCTTGTTTACAAGATGATTACATGAACCTGATTACTGAAATCATCATTAATAAAGAAGTACTTATACTATGAAGTTAAATAGAATTATTCATTATTGTAGATTAATGGACTTACCTCATTTAATTCTGTATTTGATTGAATGTTTTCAGATTCTACAGTGTTTTCATTACTATTAGGGGTAGTAAAAATGTTAATTGCTTTTGTTGTTACTGTATTATTATTATTATTATTTGTGGTCGAAGTAGTAGTAGTAGTACTACTACTACTAGTACTAGTAGTAGTAGTTGTTGTTGTTGTATTGGTAGTAATATTGTTAGTACAAATGAAATTTCTTAATTGATTTAATAATTTCCATTCATTATTAGCAAAATTTTTTAATTCTTCACAAAAATCATCTACAGTTGTTGCTTCAAAAATACACTAAAATATAAACATATAAAGATGTATATTAAACATTTCCAATACAATTTAAAGTAGTATAATAAAATTAACATATATATTAATGAACTCAAATGTTACATTGCTAAATAAGAAAAGATAGATAGTGGCTAGCAGTTGAATCGACAACGCGCGTTTCGTCCTCTTTTTTGGACTCGTCAGCTGGATGTACACCTGCATCTCAAAGTTCACTCCGGGAATCGAACCCAGTACCGTACACTTCAAATGCCATCGCGTTATCCATTTAGCTACTGAGTCGTGGAAGCCACTTACTTGTACAATGGGATCAAGTTTAAATTCACTTGGTGTTGTTTACTGGTATCTTCCCATTGTTATTTAGGACTGCAATTGATCAGTCTCTTATTAACATATGTGGATTACCTCAATATAGTCTAGTCACAAGCTTAATGAGCAAAGATGAATAGTGGCTAGCAGTGGTGTGAACATCAACTCTGAGATGCAGTTGCATACACCTGACGAGTCCCGAATCGGACGAAACATGCGTCGTGGATTCCACTGCTAACCACTATCCATCTTTGCTTAAAAAGCTTATGATTTAAGAGTATATGCACATATGCCAACAAGATACTGATTAATTACAGTTCTAAGTAACAATAGGAAGAAACAAGTGAAATAACCTCAAGTGGACTTTTACTTTACTAAAAATAGAAATAACTGTTCATTGATCCTGATTTTTATGAATACTTTTCGATGTAGTTTTGTACTTTGAGCTGGATGTTTTGGTCGTAGTTCTTTCATCGTTTTTATGAACAACATCATCAGTACAAACTTTAAGTAGAAGTCAAGTGTTAAAATGTCTCCACATATAATCCACAAATTGTCCTGTAGACCTTGATCTTCATTGATTAATGTTGACCTACCAAAGAAGATCGAGGTTAACAAAACAAAACGTGAGCCATATGTGGAGAAGTTGGAACACTTCAATTCTACTTGAGGTTTCTGCTGATCACGTCGTTCAGAAGAATGATGAAAGCTCCACAATCAAACCATCCAACTCAGAGAAAAAATCTCCATCCAAATCATTCACCTGATCTATAAATCTTCTCCACCATTGCTATGAATACTATCATACTCACTTCTTTCATATGTAATTAACACGAAAATGATATTCTTTTCAAAGATTTAGAAGTATCTAAATAAGCTTACAAAATTGAACAGACTGTATTGCAAATCTGTGTCAATTATAAGTAATTGTCACTTTCTACTGACATGTCTCAAAACTTCATGGATCAAATGCTCTAATAACCAATTATCTTTGAATATTGATATAAATCAGTGATAATTCTTAGTTAATATACATTCCATGTTAACTGGTATTAGTCATTATGACTATAGTCTTTCTTGTATTGATACTTTCAATGAGTATCAAATTCAATCTGCTAAGTTTTATAGTTACATATGATTGAACTGAACAATTCAAATCACAACTTATTTTATACTATTAGTAGTATTAAATCATTTGTGAAAAAGAAGGGTAATTTAATGAAAAAGTAATCTTAATCTCATAGTTTAAACACTACGTCTTTTATTTCAAAATTTAGCTTCTTATTCTTGTAATTCCCAGGACAGAGTAGATGGTCGATGGTCTATGCTCCATTAGGAGAACAGGCGTAAGTAAGTAATTCTTGTAATTAAAAGTGAAAAATGTAATAAGTCATTTCTGAATGTTTTGTAGTGTCGGTTATTATGTTAAGCCCATATACCTTATTCTAACTTTCGGACAGCCCATTCTATTCATTCTACTTTCATTCTACATTCTGACCTTGTTAATTATTCGCTTATCAATCTTCTCTGTTTTTATATGAGCGCTTAAGTGTGTATACATTTCTTATCCCATTACTCATCACATGTCTGTAACTTATTTTCGTGTGAATATAAATATTGATTAACGCTTGATTAAATGGGAGTTGGGTTACCCGCCATCTCCACTACGTGTCCATTCGCTTCATATACAAAATATATGTGTTCAAAAATCCATTCTCATTATTTGACGTATCTAAATCCGTTATTGATTAACGCGATTAAAGTCGATGATTCTATACGAGGATAGGCGACATATATATTTCAACAACAATCATCAATACAATCGCCTTGGAATCAGATCCACTGGCCACTAAAGTGGAAAGTCCTTTCGACTACATTTGTTCGATTTAAATGACGATTAAGAAACAGACCTCCACAAAAGTTTCATTATCAGGATACTTCAATTATACACAAACAAGTACATTCATGAATTAACTTAACCTTTAAAACAGAATTGCTTTATAAATATAACATTTAAACTATGAAATGAGTGAAGTTTTAAAATGAAAAAATACCCATTGGCAATATATTCCTATATAAAAGTAAAACTGTGAATTACATGTTAAAAGTACTTTTGTATAAATTAGCTGATATCGGATAGCGAACTATTGTTTTATTCTGGAACATATTTATGATAACTATATGCATGAACATCTTATTATGAAACGAATAAACTGTCATATGTCACTTTATGAATTAATTTCAATTAGAATAAGCAAGAAAATGTTGTTGCATAATAATGAACGATTTGAAACAGTTTAGATTATTGTCAAAGCTATCCAGAAAGTCAGTCATCAACAATGTAGAACTTCCTACGTACGTACATCAGTTCAAGTTGCTATACTACATTAGCAAAGAGATGCAGTTGTCTATTCAAATCTCATAGTGGTAGAGTTAGTACAAGTATAAACAGTAATTGGAATGATCGGGGTTTGAAGATGTTATTCAAGGAGTATAACCCAATGAAATAAATTTGAAAAGAGAGAAAAAAAATGGGGACAAGAAGAATTCAGAAGATTAGAATTTGGGAGAACACAAAAAGTGTATGCACCTGAGCCATTGCAGACGATTTTGAGCCATGTCATTCAAGGTCTCTTACCGTCGATTGCTATCATCTTGCGGATCCCAACCACATAGTCTATACCTACCAACATGACTCACACAGTCCACTTGTCGGTAACGTCATGAATCTGTGCCGTGTTTTGGTCTAGCCGTCCCTAGCTTTCTTCCAACCTACACCTACACCATAAAACATCGCACATCGGGGCAGTCGTTGGTTGGGCATACATAACACATGTCCTAGCCATCTCAACTGATGACGTTTCACTTCTTCATTAATTGATTTTCCATCCTTACCTAGTACATGTTTCCTAACAACTGAGTTACGTACTCGATGGTCGCAGGATATACGAGTGATGTTTCGAAGACACCTATCATCAAATACTAGCAACCCACGAATAGCCTTTACTCTTACCGGCCATGTTTCACTGCCATAAAGTAGGACGGAACGAACTGCTGCGCATTAAACCCATCTTTTGGTTGGTAGACGGATATCTCACCTACGCCATAAATGACAAATTTTGCAAAAGCTAGTCGAGGTTTCTGTATCCATGCCGAGATTTCGTCACACATTAGACCACAACGGCTGATGAGACTTCCAAGATAAATGAAGCGGTCGACACGCTCAATTACTTCATTCTCTATCATTAGTTCAGGTGTCGATGCAATTCAATCGTGAAGCAACATTTTTTACTTCGAGGGGGTAAACGGTAAGAAGAACTTATAGATAACATATATATACATATACAGTATCATTTACTTATTTATCTATTTTTATTATATTAGATAGTAATAATGTAAGCTTCAAATACACTAAATGATTCTTACAAATAGAACATTTTTAGTCCTATAATATTGTCCTAAAAGTATTCGTTTTATTCACATATTATTCGTGGGATTGAGTAGCTCAAACAGTATTTTCAATTAGGTTAGAATACGTTTCAACGATATGTTTTTATAGAATATAATCCCCTCAGGGTGAAAGTCTATGGGTAATAATTTGTTCATTTGCTTGTATGGTTTATCAATAATTAAATAAGTGAATACTCAGGTGGTACCAATTAACTTATAATTATACACTTGTCAGTTATAAAATTCATAACTAGAATGGAAATGCAATCTTGTTAGTATTCACTTCGATTCTCAACAAGTAAATTACTGAATATAAAGATAGATGGAAACTTTTGAAATTTCTTTAGCTCAGTGGTTCAGAGGTTAAGTTAATTACATCTGAGACAGAAGGTTCAACCTCTGGTGGGAGAATCGTGGATGCAAACTATCACAGAGTTTCAGTGTCTCATGGTTTTCGATGGTTGTTTAACAAGGGTCATTATATGATGTTAACAATGAAACTGATATACTGCCTTGATTTGGCTGATAACTAATCAAGCCAATTTACGGATATACAAAATTTTCTTTTTAACATTAATTCACACCTTTTTAAGCAAAGTAAATTTAAACTTCACCCCATTGCACAAGCAGGTGACTATCAGTACTCAGTGGATAAGTGGATAACGCGATGGCGCTTGGAGCGAACGGTACTGGGTTCGAGTCCTGTAGTGAACATCAACTCTAGGATGCAGGTACATCCAGTTGACGAGTCACGAATAGGACGAAACTTGCGTCAAACTGGATTCCACTGTTAGCCACTATCCATCTATGCTTATCAAGCTTGTGACTTAAGATTATGTCGAAGCGATCCGCACAGGATGCTCATATACCAACAAGAGACTGATCAATTGCAGTCCTACATAAACAATGGAAAGATACAAGTAAAACAACACCAAGTGAATTTAGTCACATCTTTCCTAAAGTAACTCAAAATAAAGTAGGCAATCTAATGAATAAATGAATTTTTCTAATTTCTTCTGTGTATGGAATTCAGTAATATAACAGTAATATAACTAACAAACATTTGAATAATAAAATGGAATTTTTGTATAAAACCATTTAACTTTGAATCCAGATACAAAATACCCCAAAGAAATCACATAAATCTTAATTCTGTTATATTCCGATGAGAATAATGAATGGTAACTGTTTGGATTTATTTATGGACTAGTAACTGTGCATATATTCTGATTGTATAATTGTTAAGT